TAGATCAATACAAAAAGATACAGAATCAACATAATTCTCACAGAATTGAACATTTCCTATTTGGTCGTTTCAGTAAAAGTGGCAGGCGTTTCCATTCCAGTTTTATAAGTAAGGTCTAGAAAAGGTTTATTTTTTAACTTGGAGTATTAAAGAGGCTTTTTGGGAGGGTTTCCCACAACTCCACTCTCCCTTCATCCCTGCTTGATGCAGATTGACGCTTCAATTCCTCCTCCTGCCATATTGGTGAGGAGGTCTGGTTCTCTCTAACCCTCTGGCTACCACTTTGACTCACACTGTAGCCTCATTCAGCCCAGCTAAGCCCTGATTCTCTCTCTCTCTCTCTCTCTGTCTCTCTGTCTCTCTCTGTCTCTGTCTCTGTCTCTCTCTCTCTGTCTCTCTCTGTCTCTGTCTCTGTCTCTCTCTCTCTCTCTGTCTCTCTCTCTCTCTTTATCTCTCCCTCTCTCTCTCTCTCTTCTCTCTCTCTCTCTCTGTCTCTCTCTCTCTCTGCCATGTTGGTGACGTAATCGGGGTTAGGTAACCTGCCCAGGATCACAAAGCTAGTGTCATGTGTCTGAGGCTGCATTTGAACTCAGGTCCTCCTGACTCCAAGGCTGGAGCTCATCCACTGTGCCACCTAGCTGCCCCCTGATTCTCTTTTCATTGTAAAAGTACTCATCCATCTTGGGTTTGACAGCCCAAAGCACTTTGCCATAGTGGGGTCCCCACAGTACCCCATAGAATCTCTAGGTAACCATGTTTATTAATTGCTTGGAATTTGCAAAAAGAGTGATAGATGTGGCCAATGCCTTCTAAGACCATAAAAATATAATACCGAAGGCTGCTGTTAACAGCAAGGTTTGGAAAATCCTTTCTCTTCCCAAAAATTAATGAAAAGGAAGTATGGCAGAGTGTATAGAGTGTTGTCCTCCAAGTCAGAATGACCTGGGTTTAAGTCCCATCTGCTACACAATCATCATTTAACTATGGGCATATCACTTCACCTTTCAGTGGCCAGCCTAGTTAAGATTTGAAGATTATAGATGAGTTGCATTGGTATAGGGAGTTTTGACTAGGAGTTCTTTGTGCCACCAGAACAATGATAACAGAAATGTCAGGTTGATTATCCAAGTACTGTAGTTGGTAAGAGCAAGAGGCCTGACCCACTCATCAATATGGCAGGAGGAGGAAATGGGTCATCAGCTAGAGGGACTGTCTGCATGAAGGAGCTTTCCAAGGCAGCAGGGGAAGATTAAAAACCATGTTGTGAAACTCTGAGGCTGAAGATAAACATTTGCAGGTCCTATTGAAAAGTTTGGAATGCAAATACTTGCCACATTGATTAATAGGACTAAAAAGAAGAGAAAATGTCCCAGAAGTCTTTGCCTTCTGGGAAGAAGAGTGACTTCAGATCAGTACTGATGCAAGTTCGTGGTAGACAGGTGATGCAATGGAGGTGCAGAATGAAATACATGTTCTCTGACACGGCCAGTATATTGCCTTGTTTTGCTGAGCTACCGTATGTACATATGTATCCCAGGGAAGGTTTCTCCTGGGGGTGAGGTAGACAGGGAAGGGGTAAATTAGTGGGTAGTGACAGAGATGCAAAAAAGGATCCTTTAAACACCTAAAAGAAATACATAGAAGCAAACAAAATGCAGGAGGGGACATAAACAGCACAATATTTGTTCATGTATCTTTCTTGTTAAGTGCATATATAGGGATAGGAGGACTGGGCCAGTGATTTCATTGGTATAAAGAACTCTCAGTTAAGGAAACTTCCTTGACTAATGTAGGCTGGCACCTTCTCCGCACCTTCTAGTCTTAGAGAGTTGACCAGAAAAGTGAAAGGTTGAGTGACTTGGTCAGAGTCTCTAATATACACATATGACATATGTCTATGCACATCTATATGTGAGTAAATGACTTGGAAAGCAGATTGTGTAGCAGAAGCTCACAGGTATTTTTTAACATATAATCTTTCTTTGTATAAAGTTTATTTGTGTTGATGATTGTTAAAGTTCTAATGAAATAGAACAGAAAAAAACACTTGGTTATGGTCCCTGCCTCTGCAGCTGGTTAGCTTTGGAACCTTGGGAAAACCCCTCTGCCCCTTCAGTGTCCTCATCTGTAAAACAGACATCACTCCAGCGGCATTACTTTGGATTGAGGGACTCACATGGCAGTGCTTTGTAATGAAGAGGTGCTCTATCAAAGTCAGCTGCTAAGTCAGCATGCACCGGCCCAGTCAGAGCTAAGGGACCTTTCTCTACTCACACCTACCCCAACCACTGTGTCCTCCCTTGCCCAACTCTCCCTCTTGTGGGACCCGGAAATAGTTTCCTCCTTAAGGAGAGCAGTCAACCTCTTGGTAAGCGTTCCATGCAAGTATTTCCTGTGACTGAATGAAAATAATAGAAGATGAGGATTTTTTTTCTGATCAAGTTCTGTTGTCAATATAGGTTAGTGTATGTATCTGGATGCCTAAGAAGTATTGTGAGAGACTCAAAAGTCAGGATTCTCTGTTGCTGGAGGTCCTTAGAAGTCATGGGAACATCGCACATCCTTTAACAGGTTTTGGTGCCAGATGGCCTGGAGGGGTCACAGAGTGGCTAGTTTCAGAAGACCTCTCTTCGCTCTATGATTAATTATATTGAAGGACTAAATGGTTAACCATCCTGCCCTTCTTTACTGATCATAAACTTAGAGTACCTTGTAAGTGCTTATGCTGGCATTGAGAACAATAAATAATAGCTAGCATGTATATTATGCTTTTAGGTTTTCAAAGTGTTTTGACAAATATTATCCTCAATAGCTGGACCAGAAGGTAGATGCTATTTTTCTTCTTCCTATTTTGCAGATGAAGAAATTGAGGCAGATAGGGGTTAAGTGATTTGCCTAGAGTGATGCAGCTAGTAAGTATCTGAGGCTGGATTTGAACTGGTGTTCCTCGCTCCAGGCTTAGGTAGTGATGGTGTCTGTGATGATAGTTCAGACTCAGCACTGATGTTATATTTGGCTGCACCTCCGAAATACTTCCTATGTGTCAACTCATTCAAGAATTTCATAGCAGTTTAAAAAATGATTTCCAGGAAATTTTTGTGGAAGTTTTAAATGCTAATAATTTACCTCTTGTAAATTTTCTTCCTAGACTCGTAGCTCGGCTAAGTCAGAAGTTCCCCAAGATTGAATTTGGTGAACTTCATAAAATAGTGGAAGATCTTACCAAGGGTTATAAGGAATGTTGCCATGGTGACCTGTTGGAGTGTGCTGATGATAGGGTCAGTATTTGCTGGTATTACCCCACATTGTTTTTGTATAAGCTTTTCTATAATGTACTGGTATGAGCCTTTTTTTATACCCACAAAGAAGAAATTTAGAATCAGAGGAATCATAATGAGTAAATTGGAATCTGTAGTTTTTTTCAGACCTCAGCTTATTGTGTCAGCCAGCCAGTCAATTGGCATATTTAAGCACCTACTGTATGCCAGGCAGTAGTCTAAGCTTGTTTCCCTCTCTATAGAAAGCCTTTTCTAATCTCCTCAGCCTCTCCTTTCTTCCAGCAGAAAATTACCACATCTGACTTGTATATATTTCTACAAAACTTATGTATATACTTGTTACCTTCCTGGATAAATGTGAGCTGTTAGAGGATAAGCATTTTTTGCCTTTGAATTCCTGAGGGTGTAGCATAGTACCTTACAAGTGGAAGGCACTTAATTACTTGCTGCTGTATAAAATAAGGGAGTTCCTTAGCAAGATGGTGAAGTACCGTAGAGAAGGTTTCTTGCTAGTGTTCTTATTGCTTCTCCCCAAGCCCCTTTTTAAGAAATTTTCATACTCCCTCTGATTCCATGGTTTGTATCACTTTCAAACTCTCTCTATTACTTCCCTTAACAAAATGAATTTTTATAGTATCATTAGTATTATTTTTGTTATTATCTTGAAAAAAAACACACTAATTGAGGCTAAGGTCAATATTGCTGTTGGCCAATTTGTCAGACAGTCAATAAGCATTTATTAAGCACCTCCATGTGCCAGATACTGTGCTATATACATTGGGGATGCAAAGAAAGACAACAATAATCCCTGTCCTCAAAAAGCTTACATTCTGGTGGGAGGAGACCACATGCAAATATATAATGCATATGGAAGGTATACTTAGAGTACATGGGAGGTAATCTGAGGAGGGAAAGGTCTTACAGCTGGAGGACCTCTTCATCTATCTTAAAACAGCCAAGGATTCTGAGATGCAAAGGTGAGGGGGGCAGAGCACTGAGGCATGGGGGACGGACAGTGTCCCTAGTTTGGAGAGCTTATGGAATGGAGTGAAGTAGAAGAGTAGCTGCAAGGTAGGAGGAGGACAGGCTATGGAGCAGTTTGAATATCAAACAGAGAAGTTGATGTTTGATCCTGGAGGTACTAGGAGTCGCTGAGCTCACCAAACAGGAGAGTGACGTGTGTAGACCTAAGGCTGGGAAAAATCAGCCAAGTGGAGGATGTATAGGACTGAGGAGAGACTTGAGCTGCACCCAAGTATTGAAGTGCAGGAGAAAGGAGGGAGAATGAACCAGGGGAGGTTGACAAAACCCAGTAGAGTCTGGACAGGGTGATTCATCTGGTTGGGTTGAACTTCAAAGGAAGACAGAGAATGCAGGTGGTAAGGTAAGGGTCTTAAAGTGGCAATGAGGGGGCAAGGAATCCCCTGTCCCCATTCTCTCTTGGCTGTGTGTGTGTGTGTGTGTGTGTGTGTGTGTGTGTGTGTAACATGTAAGAATGAGAGAAGGGACATCCCATTCTGAAGAGAGCTTGGGCAGGGATGAAATGTCTCCAGGTGAATGTCAGTTTTCTGAGCCTGCAAGGATATGGAAGGAGCTCGAGAGGAAGGAGTGCAAGTGAAGAACAATTTGTTAAGAATAAGGAGGATCTAAGGGCATTGTGGAAGGGATAGGCAGAGTTGGATTGGAGTGCTTAGACTATTGAGCCTTATGTTGAACTGCTTCTATCTTGTGGCTTGTAGGTGGCTCTTTCTGAGTACGTTTGTAAGCACAAAGATACAATCTCCTCCAAACTCGGAAAATGCTGTGACAAGCCTGTAATCCAGAAGAGCCAGTGCATTGCTGATCTGGAGAATGATGACATTCCTGCTGACCTCCCTAACTTCCTTGCTGAATATGTAGAAACCAAGGACGCCTGCAAAAACTACCAGGAAGCAAATGAAGTCTACTTAGCCCAGTAATGAAACTTTTAATCTTATTCTTGTGTTCCTTTCATATGCTTGATGCCATTCACCTGATACTGTACTTGCTTCACAGTTGTAGAGCTGCTGGCTACTCCTTGCCTTGTCCTCTCCCAAGCATTTTAGGCAGAAATAGAGACGAACATTCTTCTCATGTCTTATGCTGTACTTAGTGATGGGATCCAGGCTAATGACTCTGGGACTCCAGCTCAATTGTACCTCATCTTTGGCTCCATACAATTTACTCACTTTCCTTCAACCTCAAAAAGAGACCAATGATGGCAAGAAATCATAATTTCCTGGCTTTGTCCAGAGAAGACAGATATCTGGGAACTTGGAGACAGTTTTGGACATGTGCTGGCTGCAGGAGTACAGAGCACTGTAAAATCTCCTTTTAGCCCTGAAACTACCTACTTTGTGGCCTTGAGACTTGACAAAAGTATCATTCATTAATTAGGGGAGAAAAGGAAACTTTGTATTGTCTTCTGTCTGCTGAGCTTTTCTTTGTCCATCCATGCATCCCACCATATACTGATCCATCCATTCATTCACTCTCATTCATAGAACAAATACGTGTTGAGATCCATATTACTCTCAGTGTTCTAAACAAGGCATTGTAAGGGATACCAAGAAGCATAAGATAGAATGTTAGCATTCCAGGAATGTACAGACTAATTAAGAAGGTGGTAGCCATCCAGACATGTGACCACTAACAAGAGTAGAAGGCGGTATGGAGTTAAGTGCTATAAATGTGGAATTGGGAGATATGTTTCTGGTGTCCTCTGGACTTAGAGTAGCGTTGCATAGAGCTGATGTTTTGAAAAAAAGGAAAATTTAACACCATCTGGTGAATCCACCAATACAAAGACCAATAGGCAAAGTTAACTCTACACATTTTATCTCAGAAGTTTCTGTTGTAATTTCACAAAATTCATGGAACCTTAGGCCAGAGGAATAATGCTGGGGCTGATCCTGTTCCTTACCATGCTCACGTGTGTTTGGTCTTCATTCTTCAGCTATCTGTATGACAGTGGAAGAAGACACCCTGAGCTTGCTGTTACCACACTGCTGAGGCTTGCCAAGGACTACGAACACACACTTGAGAAGTGTTGTGCCACAGCTGACCCTCCTGCTTGCTATGCCAAAGTGGTAGGTTTCTCATGAGATAGAAAAAAAATCAAACTACTCCCCTGGGATGCCATATGCTCAGGATTGCTTGATTCGGAAATGATAGCACAGTACATAAAAAAGAGGAAAAAAAGTACAGTCTTATGAATGCTAATTGGACCTTACCTTGGGACTCTTGGCTCATTCTGGGCTTTCAAATCAGGTTGTTATGAACAATGTTTCAAAGAATTAAGAAGAGTTACCCTGGAGATGGGAAGGCTGCAAATGAGACTCTGTCAATCTAGAACAGCTCTTTGAGAAAGGAGAAAGTTTTGCTTGTCTTCATTTCCACTAAGACAGAATGAGAAAAAGCATTGTGAGAGGTGCAATAGAAGAGAGACTCAATTTAGCCCGGACAGAAGAATTTCTGAGTTGTCCTGAGCATGAGGGTCATTAGGAAGTAGAATTGGAATGTCCACGTACAGAAGTCTTGAAAACCCTTGTTTGACCTTTGAGGTGTGCTTTTGCATGAAATGAAATGAGCTGGATGGAATGACTGCTGTGGGCCAATTTTAATATGATTTCTAAAATTGGTATATATGTACATGTGATGTGTCTACAGGGGACGTGCTCCAAGTACCATTTTATTTTCTTTCAGGCTGATGATCGGAAAGCCATTATTGAGGAGACCAACCATTTAGTCAAGTCAAATTGTGATATTTTTGAAAAACTTGGAGAATACGGTTTTGAAAATACGTGAGTGGGAACTAGCTGTTTGAACAGTTTTGAATATTTAAGGTTTAATAGGATGGAAGGTGGTGGTTGTAGTTTGCCCTTTGTTCTTGAAGAGGACCATGACATCAGAAAGATGATGCCATGCCTTGCAAATGAATTGGAGTTAAGTGAGGCAGGGCTGTTCAAAGTCACCAGCCTCACTTTGTTCTCCAGAGCCATCTGGGTCCAGTGGCCAGACATAGATCAAGATAACTAGAGATGGCCCAGCAGGAGAAAAAGGCAGTCTCTTATAAAAGGCCATAAAACAGAAAAACTTCATCTTTCCCTTTCAAAGTGCTATGTAAGCCTGTGGTCCTTTTAATGATTTGGAGTTGAAAGGGCAGCACTTGGCCTGTCTACTGGTTTGCTACTACTCATAGAGTTGGGGCATGGGGCAGTGAAGAGAGTGCTGGGTTTGGAATCAGCACCACCTGAGTTTGATACTGGGTTCTGACCTGACTCTGGCACTTGTTAGGTGTGTATTCTTGTGCAAATTAGTAGGACTCAGTTTCCTTCTCTGCAAGATGAGGTTGTTGGACTCAGTGGCCTCCAAGACCCTTTCCAGTTCTAAATCTGTGGTCCAGTGTTGAACTAAATAAACTTCTTTGGCACGGAAAGCTGAAGCTTTAAATGTGATGTGATCCAGTGCTAAAAAAAAAAACAACAAAAACAAAATATGAAAATCTATGGAAGGAAGCAACAGAGCAGGGAATGCCAGACTTGTTTAGGCAACCATGAGGCTTGGGACCCCATCTGAAATGTAAACAAAATGATTCAGGACAAATAAATGATTGGACTACTCTTTGTAATGGAGCATAAACTTGTAGAGTACCAAGAGGTGGTAGAGACGAAATAGTTATGTAAGTTCAATGTTTAAGAAAGACCCACGTATGACAGATTAATACTGGGGGAAATTGGGATATTTGGGAAACTTCCATCATTGAAAATGTGAACATCATTGCGGGGATCTATGAAGCCTCAGAAAATGTCCCTGTCACCACTATGCAAAACACAGTATTGGGGAGAATGGATGAGTGGTGGAGGCCATGACAGTGGAGAGCCATAGAGATAGAAAAAGGGAAGGGCCATATTGACTGCCAGGGATGGTCAGTTTAATGATTTCAACTGACTCTGAGTAGGTGTTTATTGCTTCAGAAGTTTTTTATGCTATTAGTATTATTGTTGTTGTTTTACTTAAAGTGATTCTTTGACTACGACCATTTGGAACATTGTAATTACAGAGTACTGGCCAGTTATACCAAGAAACTACTTCCACTGTCAACCCCAACATTGTTGGGCCTTGCACATCAGTTTGGAAAAGTTGCCAGTAAATGCTGTAAACTCAGTGACCAAGAAAAAGTGGCCTGTGCTGAGGGCTATGTGAGTTGTCTTTTTCTTTGCTACTTTAATGCTACTGTTGCGAGTTTTTGCCTTGAGATGACAATAAACAATTTTGTGGCAAAGGAGTGCCCTTTATAAATGTTGGTTACTTCTCCTCTTAAGCAGAGCACCTAAAAATCCCATATGAAAACCCCTTTATGGGTTTATTTTAAAAAACCCTATATTTTCAAAAGGGTTAAATTGCTCATGTAACTGAGGCTAAAAATTCAATGGCAAAAATTGGACTGAGGCTAGGAGTAAGGGTGTTCTTCAATATAACAGTTTAATTTAGTCCATGAAATACTAATGTGTTCACCCTACTCGTGTGGTGAATTCATTCAATTTTTCCTTTTGCTTTAGGGGGCTATTGTATTTGACAATCTGTGTCGCCTTCATGAGAAGACCCCAGTGAGTGATAGAATCACCAAATGCTGCACAGACTCGTTGGTGGGCCGCACTCGCTGCTTCACTGCCGTGGGAGATGATGACACATATGTACCCAAGGCATTTTCTGCAGACACATTCACCTTCCATGCTGACCTGTGCACACTTCCTGAAGAGGAGAAACAGAACAAGAAGCAAAGGTCAGGAGCATTTGGTCTCCTGCATTCCTCAAACTCATTTGCTTCCTCCTTGAGAATGAGAAAGACATTCTGCTGACAACACGAGCAAACCTTTCTGCTTTAGGGCAAGAATCGGTCAGGGAAAAGAATTTAGAAAGTGATTTAGGTGCAAGTCACTCAGAAGAAACTTGTGGGGCAAATGGTTGTAGTTGAGTGGTATCTAATACCAATGACTGCTATTAGTATGTATATAGATTTTAAAATTTCCAAAGTACTTTTACATATATTATCCCCTTTGATCTTCACAACAGCCCTGAGACATAAGGGTTAATATGATCCCCATTTTACAGATGAGAAAACAGAGGCTTAAAAAGATAAAGCAACTATCTGAGAGTCACACAGCTAGTGAGAATCTTAGGCAGTTTTTGAATTCAGGTCTTTTTTTTCCTTTTTTTTCTTTTTTCCCCCTTTTTTCTTTTCTTTTGTTTTATTTTTTCTTTTTCTTTTTTTTAATTTTTTTTCATATGCTTTTGAGTTGAAAATTTTTTCTCCCTTTTTCTCCCTCCCCCCCCCAAGACGGTGCACAATCTGACATAGGCTTTACATTTACATACCCATTAAACATATTTTCACATTAGTGAAGTTGTAAGTAAAAATTAAAACCAATAGGAGGAACCACCAGAAAGATGAAACAAAATTCAAGTTAAGGTAAAAATAAGTGAGAACAATCCGACTTCCATAGTTCTTTCTTTGGATGTGGACAGCATTTTCCATCCCAAGGCCTCTGGAGATGTCTTAGATCCTCATAATGCTGAGAAGGGTTCAGTTTAACATTCTTAGTCATTGCATAACGTGGCTGCTATTGTATACAAAGTCCTCTGGATTCTGCTCACTTCACTCAGCATCAGACCATATAAGTCTTCCCAGGTTTTTCTGAAGTCAGCCTGTTCATCATTTCTTATAGAACAATAGTGAATTCAGGTCTTCTTGACTTCAAATCCAGCAGTGTATCCACCATGGCACCTAGCTATCCATCTAAGTCTACTGCCATTCAACAGACAGTCAAACAGAGAGCTAGGTCACTCTGTAGAGGATCTGTCATTTTGAATAATGCAAACTAAAGGACCATCTCTCTCTGGTTAGAGGTGATGAAGCCCATGGTAAGATGTCTAGGATCCCTGAAGGGGAAGGCAGGAAAATGTCCCAAGGTGTCCCTAATGCCTCCAAAAGGATCATCTTTACTCATGTCTTTCTCCAAACCTCAGGCTTCAATGTGAGGACCTCTCCTCTGAATTGTGACCTAGAACTAAGGCCAGATGAAACATGATTGGTCAACCTGCTTGCTCCTTGACTTTCATGGGCATTTCTGTGTTTTGTCTCATTCCAGTGTACTGGTGGAACTCGTGAAACACAAGCCCCACATCAGTGATGAGCAACTCAAGGGTGTAATTACTGATTTCACTGCATTTGTGGACAAGTGCTGCAAAGCTCCCAACCAGGAAGCCTGCTTCGCTGAAGACGTATGGACTTCTCTTTTCTTTTTATTGCATTTACCTTTGGCAGTCTTTGGTGATGCCTCTAATGGGGGCTTGGCCAGGAGTACTTAGGTGCCACCGCTGGTCATCCTTAAAGCAAGAGGCTATTCCCTTTTTGCCCTTGACTAAAATATTCCTATATGTCCATTGAAAGCTCGGTTTGTGTTGTGCATTTGTAGTTTTCTTTCACTTGTCAAATGGTTATCAGTCTCCCCTGTCTCCTATGTGTCAGGACGAATGAAAATCATGCATGTGTAGCATTTGAGGCATGCATAAGACTTAGTGGTAGAATTCCTTTAGCTGGCCATCTTTTTGGCTGTAACCCAGCTGTAAGCTGTGCCTGTGCACAGGTAGTGAAACAGCCCCAGTTTCACCCAATCACTGAACCCAGAATCTTAGGGATGGAAGGGACCTCAGAGACCTTCTAGGTCAGGGCTTCTTAACCTTTTTTTTTTACAGACCTCTTTGGCAGCCTGTTGAATCCTATGGCTTCCTTCTCAGAATAATGTTTTTGAAAAACACAAAATTAAGTATACACACGAGTGTCAAGGAAACCAATCATATTGAAAAACAATTTCCAATATTAAAAAAATTACGAACCCTGATGTATTCCAATCTCAACCCCGGAATTCTCTCTTCCCTACTTGACATTCTCATCCAGACTTCACTGGAAGACCTTAAGGGAGAAGAAGTCACTGCTTCACTCTTTAACATCTTCCCATTGCTCGTACAGGTTTTCCCACCATCTAGGGCCCAGTGAACAAGTCAAAACTCTCTTTCACCAAAGAATCTTTCCTATAGTTTCAACACCAGATGAATATACAGATAGGCACCTTTTCCTCGAGCAGGAAGCTAACATTCAAGGATGTTTATGCACACATATCTTCCCATGTCCTTTGATTGGAATGGTTTTGTATATTCAAGGGCAATGGATAATGCTCAAAGAGCCCCCTTTCAGGGACCTCAGTCTTGGACACTCTGGAATCTCTTTCTCACAAATCTGTGTTTTCTTTCCATGCAGGGTCCCAAACTGGTTGCTTCAGCTCAAGCTGCCTTAAACGCCTGATGGACAAGCTGTCACTAGCATTTCAGGTAACTCTCTTTGGGTATTTCATTGGCAATTGGTTGATATGTCAAGTCCCTGGGATTTCAGCTTTGTGGGACCATCTTCCACTGACATTTCACAGCTGATGGATACCTCAGTTGTAGTTGAGTTTAAATGATTGAGGATAAGCATCAGAAGTTGGGTACCAATCCAAATCCTCTTGACTCAATGTTCAGCACTCTATGCTGTGTTGCCTGGCATATGGGCAATACTGAGGCCTGAATTTAACTCTACACTCCCAGGCTGCCTTAGTGAATGGGGCTGGTGATCCTTGAGAAATGATCCTTCTTAGGATGGAGGCTGAAGGGGATCTGTTTTGTACTGAATCTTACCAAGGTATTATTGTAATAAATATCCAAGACAGGTACATATGAAATCTATTCTTCACCTCGGGAAGAAAGGACCCACTTTAAATTTGAGATCTGTATGGAAAAGTGTTTTCTTTGCACTCGTTGAATTCATTACTGCTTTGTGTTTTGTTTTAGATTCAATCTATCTGTTATCTTTTAAATAAGGAGAGACCTCTTTATAGAGGGTATGGAACCTTGCATATAGAATTGAACTTAGTAGATGTGTCAATTCAGTTGAACTCTTTTTTTTTTATTATATAAAGAGTTTCTCTCTAGGAAGGGGAATTTCTTTCTAGGAAGGGGTAGGGGCAGGGATATATTGGGAAAAGTATATGATGTAAAATAAAAACAATCCCTCTACTTTTTTTCAAAAGGGAGGAGAAAATATTGCTTTTCCTTAGTAATGTTTAAAATCGTGGTTACTATGCATACCATTTGATTCAGTAATATCATTACTATGTCTGTATCCTAAAGACATTTTAAAAAAGGGAAAAGGACCTCTCTCTCCAAAAGTATTTATAGCTGCTCTTTTTTTTGTGGTAAAGAATTGGATATTGAGGGGATGTTCATCATTTTGGGAATGGCCGAACAAGCTGTTAGGTATGATTGTGATGGAATAATATCGTGCTATAGGAAATGATGAGCAGGATGCTCTCAGAGAAACCTGGGAAGACTTACATGAACTGATATAAAGTGAAATGAGTAGAATCAAGAAAACATTGTACACAGTAAGAGCAATAGTATATGATATTCTACTGTGAATAACTTAGCTATTCTTAGCAACACAATGATCCAGGAAAATTCGTAAGGATTCATGATGAACAATGCTATCCACCTTAAAAGAAAGAGCTAATGGAGTCTGAATGCAGATTAGAACATGCTATTTTTCACCTTCTGCATTTTTAATGGTTTCTTTTCTTTTCTTTTTTGTTCTGTGTCTTCTTTCAGAACAGAACTAATGTGGAAATATGTTTTGCATGATTGCACATGTATAACATGTCAAACTGTTTACTGTCTTAGGGAAGGGTGAGGAGGGAAGGAGGGAGAAATTTAGAACTCAAAATTTTAAATAAATGAATGTTAAAATTATCTTTACGTGTAATTGGAAAAAATAAAATACTAAATTTTAAAATCATTTTTGCTTATATCTTTTTTTCTTCTAGTTGACCAGTGGAAGAAAACAGAGAGAGAACTGAGTACTCCAAATTCATGCATCTGTTTTGTTTCTCTGTTGGTGTCACCCCAACAGTTAAGAAAACATCAATTTTGCCTTAAATTTTTTTTTATCCTTCCCCAGTGTTGCAATAAATAATAAAGGAAAGCATAAACAATCATGGCAATTGTCTAAGATGATCTTTCCGTGGTGTGTGATGATGACTTGTACCAGAGGGTGTTACCCTCTTAGATCTACTGGTGCCTGAATTAGACTTTCTCTCCCACCTTAAGGAGTTTCCCCTAGACAAAGATACACAACTCCATACTTGCAAATTCATGAACATCAGCCTTACTTTTGAGTGGCTTAAAAGGATATGGACTTTTGGATTCTTTTTTTCTTCTTAACTTGGTGATGTGTCTAAAAATATCGGAGTGAGCCACAGGACCTGGATGGTCAATAGGCAAGTTCTAGTTACTAGATACATTAACAAGTATCTTCATCAATAGAAAATATGGCCAAAGTGTAAGGCCATGGCATGGATATTGCAGATGAATAATTAGGGCCAGGTGGGATAAGGGGATTTGAGACCCATAATGAAGATCCAAGCTGAGGTTATGGGGACAACTGGTCAGAGAAAGAGACATAATGGTGGGGGCTAAGTCTTTTCACTGCAGGAGGCAAACTGAATTGTTAAAAAGGAGAGTAAGCTAGGTGATGCAGTGGATAGAGCCCTGGATGCGGAGTGAGGAAGAACTGAGTTCAAATCTGGTCTCAGACATTTACTAGGTGGGTAACCCTGGGCAACTCATTTAACCTCCTTTGGCCTCAATTTATTCCACTGTAAAATGGGGGATAAGAATAGCAACTACCTCCCAGGGTTTTGTGAGGACCACATGTCAAAATAATTAAGAAACGGCACAGTTCCTGGCACATTGTAGGCACTATATAAATGTTTTTGGTTATTATTATTGTTGTTCTTGTTGTGTGGTAGGAGGAGGAGGAAGGGGAGGAGGAGAAAAAGGAGGAGGGGGAGGAGGATAAGGAGGAGGAGGAGGAATGAAGGTGGTCAACAGATGTATGGTCAATGAGCCAGGTTAGAATGACAGAATCTGCCAGTGTAGCAAAGTAAGGTCCAAGACAAAGTGTAAACTCTCCTGCCAGGTGTCCTTGGATGCAATCTCTCTCCTCTTCAGTCTCTTCCCCACACCACCATCAAAGTGAAGATACTGAAGTCTGATCATGGCACTCCTCTCTTCCATAACCGCCACTGGCTCCTTTTGCCTTTAGATTCAAACAGGTCTTCTCCTGTCTGGCCTTGAAGCCTGTGACACCATGGCTCTGACCTTCCTTTCTAGGCTTAGTCTCCATTGCTCTCCTACATTCTCTCTCTAATCCCGCCAAACTGGCCTTCTTAGTGTTTGCTTACACACAGCTTTCCATCTCTGAGCCTTTGCTCAGGCTGTGCCCTCCTCCTGGTATTCCTTCCTCCTCACTTCTATCTCCTAGGATCTCTATTTTCTGTCAAAGTTCAGCACCAAGGCCATCTCCTCCATGAGCCATGTCTTGATCCCTGGGACCGCCTGCTACTAACGTTTCCCCTACACACAATCTTCTGTATTTCTTTCACTTATACTTGTGTGTGTACATGGTTTCCTCTTCTAACAGAATGTAAGCTCCTTTCCATTTTATTGTCTTGGTATTCCCTGTACCCAGCACAGTGGCTGTCAGGCAGTAGGAGTTTAAGAAGTGCCCTTTGGGGGTCAGCTAGGTGGTTCAGTGGATAGAACACCAGTCCTAAAGTCAGGAGGACCTGGGTTCAAATCCGGCCTGAGACACGTAACACTCAGTAGCTGTGTGTGACTCTGGGCAAGTCACTTAACCCCCACTGCCTCACCAAAAGAAAATTAATAGTAATAAAAAAAGGAATGCCCTTTGATTGAATGATTACAAAGTAATAGCCCAGACCTGTCCTAGGAGGGTGAGTTGTATCAGTGAAAGTTCTCCGTGGGTTATTGCTTTTTAGGAGGTGACTCAGGCCATTTAAATGATCCAACCGTGTGGAAAAGTCCCAGGTACATTAGGACATGTAGATAGAGGAAAAGGCTCTCGTGATCACAATGACCACTAACCATAGGGCTGTATTCTTAGACTCCCAGGCCTTTGTTCATTAAATAACCTGTGTTTAGTACCTTCTGTGCAGACAGTACCTTACTTGAAACTATAGGGGACAGATAAAATCATGTAATTATTTTTTTGAGGTGTGTTCAATTCTACCAAAGTTACTACAAAGTTACTTTGATGTTTTGTGGGAACAGGAGGAAAATGATCTCCATGTATCCTGTTTTGACCTAAAGATTTGGAATTCTTTTTCTTCTCTGAAGTCAGAATCTGCATTAAAGCACATTATTGCTTGAGATGCATTGGCTTATTCTCTGTCTTATGCTACCAGCATTCAGGGAGTATATGTGGATGGTGCAGTGGATAGAGTTTGGGATCTGAGGTCAGAAACACCTGAGTTCAAATTCTCACTCATACAGCCTTAGTGGCTGTGTGACCTTGGACAAGTCAATTAACCTGTCTAAGCCTCAGTTTTCTCATCTGTAAAACAAAGCAAATAATAGCACTTACTTCCCAGGATTATTGTGAGGATAAAATGAGACAACAATGGTCAAGTGCTTTATAAACCTTAAGCATATGCTAGCCATCATCATCACCATCATCACCGCCACCACCATCATCATGATCATTATCAAAAAGTCTACGTTTACGTAACTACAACAGACATCTAAATTTTTGTGAAGGCTTCATATTTGATATTCAGCAAAGCTTTTGACCAAGTCTTGCATACCGTTCTTTTGAACAGACAAAAAAAAATGTGGCCTGGGTGGATTCAGAGCTGGTTGAATAACCACACCCACAATCTGGCCTCACACACGTAACACTTCCTAGCTGTGTGACCCTGTGCAAGTTGCTTAATCCCAATCACTTCACCAAAAAAAAAAAAAAAAGGAATAACCAGATCCAGAGAGTTAATGTGAATTTCAAAGGAGGTCTTGTGGAGGAGTGCCCCAGGGATCTGTCCTTGGTCCTGTGCTGTTGATCATTTTTAGCAATGACTTAGCTAAAGTTATAGAAGAGATTCTCATGAAATTTCAGATGATATGAAGCTGAGATGGAGAACTCGTATCTTAGATGCTGAAGTCAGGCTCCACAATCAAGTTGGCAGGCTTGAATGATAGGTTAAATCTAACACGATGACATTTAGCATGGACTGATATGGACATTTTCCCTTGGGTTAAAAAAAATTAGTCTCCTAACTACATGGTAGTGGGGTGGTTATACAGAAATTAATTGAGATAAATACCTTGGGGGGTTGTTCGGTGGACTCTAAACTCAATTAGAAGGACGAATGAAGTATTTATGAAATGCTTATCCTGTGGAAAGCACTGGAAATACAAATGTAAAAGTGATTCAGTCCCTTTTTCCAAGGTGTTCAGATTCTAATGAGAATGAGAGTATACATGAAAGGTTTCATCTGGGTGTCAGTTGGAAACGTTCCATGGTTCTCAGGATACAATGGCAAAGCAAATGGTAATGCCTCTTTTGTTTATGATTTATTTATTTTGTTATAGTCTGAGTGATGTACTGTCTCTCTCATTCCCTCCCATCCCCACATTAGAGAAGGCCAACATTTTATATATATGTACATATACACACACACACACACACACGCACACTCATAGACATATAGATGTGTATGTATATATGCATATATGTACATATGTCTGTTTATATATTTGTGCGCGCATACACACACACATATACATATGTATGTATGTATGTATATGTAAAACCATACAATGCATCCATCCATATATCACAGTTCTTTCTCTGGAACTGGATAGCATTTTCCTTCGCAGGTTCTTTGTAGTTGATTCAAATCATCATCTTATTCAAAACAGCTTAGTCATTCATAGTTATTCTATAAACAATATTGTGTTACTGTGTACAACATTCTCTTGGTTCTGCTCTTTTTGCTATGCATTAGTTCAAGTAAGTCTTTCCATGCTTTTCAAAACCAACCTCCTTGTCATTTCTTGTAGCACAGTAGTATTCCATCACAATCATATACCACAACTTGTTTAGCTGTTCCCCATTTGATGGGCATGTACTCCAGTGCCAACTGTTTGCAAAACAAAGAGACCTGTTATCTATATCTTAGAACATATAAGTTCTTTTCCTTTTTTTATTGATTGCCTTGGGAAACAGACCTAACAGTGGGATTTCTGGGCCAAACAGTGTACTCAATTTTATAACACTTTGTGAATAACTTCAGATTGCTCTCCAGAATGGTTGAATGAGTTCACAATTATGCCAAAAGTGTATTAGTGTTCCAATTTTTCCATATTCTCTCCAACATTTGTCATTTCCCCCTATCACTTTAGCCAATCTGATTGGTGGGAGATGGTATCTCATCATTGTTTTAATTTGCATTTCTTTAATCAATAGTGACTTAGAGCCTTTTCCCACTTTCCCCAATCTATGTGATTATATATGACTTTGATTTATTCTCCCCAAAACTGCCTGTTCATATCCTTTGACTGCTTATCAATTGTGGAATGACTCATTCTTATAAATTTGGCTCTTTTTTATATATTTGAGATATGAAGCCTTAATCTGAGAAACTGGTTATCAAAAAATTTCCCTAATATTCTGATTTCCTTTAAATCTCTGCTATATTGGTTTTATTTGGACAAAACCTTTTTGGTTTAATAGAATCAAAATTATCCATTTTACATTCCACAATGCTCTCTCTTTCTTGGTTAGTCATAAATTGTTTCCCTATCCATTTGTCTGATAGGCAGTATGTTCCATACTCCTCTGATTTACTTACTATATTTCCCTTTAGAGCTAGGTCATGTATCTATTTTGACCTTTTCTTGGTAAATGGCACAAGATATTGGTCTATAGTTAGTTTTGGTCATACTGCTTTCCAGTTTTCCAAGCAATTTTTTCTTACCAAATAGTGAATTCTTATCCCCAAATCTTAGCTCTTTGTGTTTATCAAACATGAACTTACCGCAATCATTTACCGTTGTGTGTTGTATACCTACTCAATTCCTCTAAGCCATCCATCCATTTCTTAGCCAGTACCAAATAGTTTTAACAATTACCTCTTTATTATACAGTTTAAGATCTGGTACTGCTAGACCCCCTTCCTTTACTCTCTCCCTCCAATAGTTCCTTTGATATCTTGACTTTTTGCTCTTCCCAATGAATTTTTATTGTTTTCTAGCTGAATAGAATAATTTTTTGGTAGTTTAATTGAGATGACAGTGAATAAACAGATTCATTTGGGTATAATTGTCAATTTGATTATATTGACTTGGCCTACCCATGAACAATTAAAGCTTCTTCAATCATTTAAATCTGACTTTATTTGTATAAATAATGTTTTACAATTATGTTCATATAGTTTTTGGTTTTGTCTTTGCAGATGTACTCCCAGTTATTTTATATCGCCTAGGGTTATTTTTTAGGCAATTGGGGTTAAGTGACTTGCCCAGGGTCACACAGCTAGTAAGTGTCAAGTGTTTGGTCTGAGGCCAGATTTGAACTCAGGTTCTCCTGATTTCAGGGCTGGTGCCCTACCCACTGCACCACCTAGCTGCCCCCACCTATTGTTATTTTAAATCAAATATTTCTTACTATCTCTTCTTGCAGGGTTTTGTTGGCAATATATGGAAATACATATAGCAAATATGTAGAATATATAGATAGAATAGAAATATGGGATGTGGAAGATTTCAGAATATATAGGATATAGAAATTTATGTGGGTTTATTTGATATCCTGCTATTTTGGTATAATTATTTTCTAACTAATTTTTTTTACTTCAATCTCTAGGACTTTCCAAGTATACTATCCTATCATCTGCATAGTTTTATTTCTTCCTTGCACCTTCTTATTCCTCCAGTATCTTTTCTCTTTCTTATTGCTATTGCTAGCATTTCTACTACAATATGGAATCCCAGTGGTGATAATGGACATTCTTGTTTCACTCCCAATCTTTCTGAGAAAGCTTCTAGCTTATTCCTAATACAGATGTTTGCTGGTGGCATTAGGCAGATGTTTCTTACCATGTTAAAGAAAAACTCGTTTCTACAGATCCTTTCAAGTGTTTTTTTTCTAATAATTGTTTTGTCAAAGCCTTTTTTGCATCTTTTAATTTAATCATGATTTTCATTGATTTTGTTATTAATATAATCAATCACGCTGATAGTTGCCCTCATATTGAAGCAGCCTTGTGTTTCTTGTATAAATCTCATTTGGTCACACTGTACAATATTTGTGATATATTGCAGTAGTTAACTAGCTAGTAGGAGATAGGTTTTTTTTTTTTTTTTGCATTGGTATTCATGAGTGAAATTGAGCTATAATTTTCTTTCTATTTTTCCTCTTCCTGGTTTAGGCATCAGCACCGCACCATATTTGTTCCATAAGAGGAGTTTGGTAGGACTGTAATAATAGTAATAGGCAAAATAAGTGACATTTATGTGACACTTCAACATTTGCAAAGTACTATGCCTAAATCATGTCATTTGGTATAATAGTCACTTGAGAAAAGTGCTATAGGTCTTGTTATTCACGTTTTACAGAAAAGGAAACTGAGTCTCAGAGAAGTTAAATGCCTGGCCCATAGAGCAGACAGCCAACATGTGGTGTAGGTGACATTCAAACCCAGAACTTCCTGATTACAAGTTCCTCTGCTCTTTTCATTACAAGAGGAATGGGAGAACCCTTCCAAAAGTGGGCAATAATGAGGGTATTGAGTGAGGGAATTGACTGAAGAAACTGGAGAAGAGACTTATGAGGGTAGTGATAGCAACTACGAGTCTTTGAAGGGTTTTCACGTTAATGTAGGATTCATCTCATTATGTTGGGAGTCAATGGTCTGAAATAGAAAGAATGGATGATAATTCAAAATGGTAGGTTTAGGCTCAAGGAAAGGACAAACTTCTTCACAATTGGAGCTGACTGGAAATGGAATGGATTGACTTGGAAGATGGTGGTTCCCCTCTCATCAGAGGTCTTTAAACCGGGGCTAGATGGCCGCTTGTCTGTGATGTCATAGATGATATTCTTAATGAGATACAAATTAGACCAGCTAGCCTCTGGACTCAGATTCTGGGACTCTGTGATTAGGTCACTCAGAGTGAATTTAGACTCCTTGTGGAGTGAGAGTGTGCTAGAGTTAGCAATTGGCTTAACAATGAAAGGTGTTTTCCTTCAGGGTGCAAGAGAATATAGGGAAAGGATCCCTTTTTTCTTTTTGAGAGTGAGAAGTTCATCAGAAACACGTATTTGTTTAGAATAATTTGGTTGATGATGCTTAAAGTGGCCACTCAAGTGGATTTCACATTGTTCCTTCTCATCTGTCTCCCTCTCATCCTTCCTTCGATTTCCCTACTGTCTTTTCTTCTCTCCTTCTTCGATGGCCTGTACATACCCACAATTCCCTGAGAATGTGTGCTTAGTGTCTGTCTCTACGTTTGTTGCTCTGCCTCCCGTGAATACCCAGCTTCCTTCAGTCTCCTGAGGGGAATCTCAGCATTTGCAAGGTCACCTAAGGTGCCACCTGATCAGGGAGCTTCAACCTTTGATTTGTATCTCAATATTTCCCAGAGCATTATTACTATCAATCATTTCAATTATTTTCTACTATCATTTCTAAGAAACACAAATGAAGCCAAATAAAAGAATTAAAGTGAACTTCAGAAAGGGCAATTGCTTTTGAGGGTCTGGCCTGAGACTGATAATGCAAACTTCTTGGACATCTAGCTGTATTCTAGATGCTCTAGATACTGCTCTCTCCATCTGTTGCATTCTGGGCCATATGGGGACTTCAACTCTTCCTGAGTAGAGGTAGGAATGAATGACGTGGAAGAATTCTAATCCTTTTATTTCAGTAACTTTCCCCCCTCCTCAGATTTTCGTTGCCATTAGGTAAGTTCAGCAGGGCAAATGGGTTTCCAAGGCTCATTTCTGAACTTAGGTCTGCAGTTCATTCAACTCTCCAAACCTGGCTTCCAGGTTGGTTAAAATTTTACTACTGCCACAACTAAAATGTTCAAATGGGAATCTAGGATAAAGGACATGGTACTGGATAAAAAGTGCAAATAGTTTGAATCCTTGTTTAGAACTTGATAAGGTATTTTACATAAGTTTAATGAATTTACAAGGTCTTTTTGAGAAGGCAGTTCCAGATGGCAAACATGTGCAAGGCATTGGGCAAACACAGTTTTAGCAAGAATAGTCTGAATTTTGAAATCAGTGGGAGGAAATGAAATGCAAAGTTAATAATCTACAATTATTGGTTAAAAAAAGTATATTAATCCATTTTCCTCTCAACATCCTACCTTCTTTCCTCCACCGATTTCCATAAAGTATTGACAAGATGAAGTGGGTCACCTTCATTTCCCTTATTTTCCTCATCAGCTCTGTTCATTCCAGGGAAATCGTCCGTCGAGATGCACGTAAGAATCTTTCTATTCATGTTCTCTTTTGATGGAGAAATCAAGGCTAAAGATTGAATCTTTGGGGATTTGTGGTCCCATCATGTGTATTTTCCTTCAGCAGTGAAAAATATTCATGAAGATGATTGTATCTATATAGTGTCAAAGAAGTCATTAGTCTGTCTAATATTGTCAATGACCTAGACAGGATAGTTTCTGTAACCTTTTTCAGATGGAGAAAATGTAGCCACCATGACTTCTTAAAGTTGTACAATCCCAAAGAAAGAAAGGAACGTATTCCTCCCACCTCCTCAGCTATGACATCATCAGCTCTGCCTCAGCATACAGAAATCTAGAACCATTAGATAAATTGTATAATTAGAGTTTGGGTTTAATGCACTTGCATTTCAGAGAGACCTCTCATCACTCCTCTGAAGGAGGTATAGAAGAAGTAACCCTAGTTTGGCAGCTAGGTGAATAGAGTGCTGGGCCTGGAGTCAGGAAGACCTGAGTTCAAGTCTGGCTTCAGCCACTTCTTATTTTCTAGACCTTGGGCAAGTCATTTAATCCTATTTGCCTCATTTGCAAAATCAGCTGGAGAAAGAAATGGAAATCTGCTTCAATATCTTTGCCAACCCACCCCCCCAAAATAAAGCAAAACCCATGAAGGGTCATGAAGAGTTGGACATGACTGAAAATGACTAAATAAACAACAAAAATTCTCCCTTAGATTTGAAGAGAAAATAAAGAAACTGCAAAGTTCAACTGGTGGTTCAAGACGTATCTGTGCCAATCAACAATTCTCCAGGTGTTATACTGACCTGAGGTTGACTAATCTGCAGAGATTTGTCTGTGCTGGCAGAGGCATCATCTTTTGAGTCAAATGAATACATAAACCATGCCTAGGTGGAGGAGTGGTTCTCCACCTGGTGGTTTAAATATCTATCTCTATCTCTATCTCTATCTCTATTTCTATCTCTATCTATCTCTATCTCTATCTCTATCTCTATCTCTATCTCTATCTCTATCTCTATCTCTATCTCTATCCCTATCTATCTCTATCTCTATCTCTACTCACACACACATACGCATATATACATATATATGTATATATGTATGTATCTAGCATGTAAATATGTATATATGTATATATGTATACATATAAATACATGTTTAAATATATGTATATGAGATGTATATCTCAATGTTGTATATTTTACTTCTAGATAAGAGTGAGATTGCCAAACGATATAGAGACTTGGGTGAAGTGAATGTGAAAGGCCTGTAAGTATAATTATTGAAAATTTAAATTCATGTTTTCCATGAATATTGATGTGACATTATCCCTTTGTACTTTACGTAGTGATTCCCTTTCTCCTCTTTCTGCCACTTCCCCTGTGGAACACGTTCAGTGGTCATTGGGTTCTGGCTCAGTAGCTAATTAAAGAGCTTTCCAACATCTCCCCTAAGAAGCCCTGCTGTCACTTATGGCTGGAAGTAGGCACCTCTTAAACTTTGTTTTTTAGGCAATTGGGGTTAAGTGACTTGCCCAGGGTCACACAGCTAGTAAGGGCCAAGAGTTTTGTCCGAGGCTGGATTTGAACTCAGGTACTCTTGACTTCAGAGCCAGTACTCTATCGACAGGCACCTCTTATTTTCACATGGTTACCAGGGATGGCAACTGAGCATGCTATTGTTATCCCTATTTTTATGGACAAGAACATTGAGGCAGATCATCCTCTGGGTCACAGTCTAATAATTGGTGATGTAATCAGTGTCAGAGGCAGACTTTGTGCTCAAGTCTTCTAGACTGAAGGTTCTAGATGTCTAATTGAATTGACTTCAGTTACTCAATGATCCTCTTACATGTACTTGGCTACTTTCTACATAGAATGATTTTTGGGGGTTAGGAAAATCCTCTTCTCCCTCCACAAAATACTCATGCACTGGCTAATGCTTGGAGTTCTACCTTAAGATGTGATCTTATTTGTTTAACTGTTAAAATACAAGTGTGTTTGGGCTAAACACCACTTTGAATATATCAGTCACTTAGCAAGTAATGTGACTAGAGCTTCTGAGAGCAAAGTTTGTATGCGATTGTGAGGATCAAATGAGATAAAATCAGTAAAGTGCCAAGCACAGTGCCTGGAACATAGTAGGTGCTATCTAAATGCATGTTCTCTTCCTCCACCTTTGGTTAGAGCAGTGAGGAAGACATAGTATACATTGATCCTTATAGAATGAATGACTGAAAAAGCATGCATTAACCACTGTGCTAAGAGCTGGAGGTATACACAAGTAGAAAAGCAAAGAAGTCCTTGTCCTCAAGGAGAACCCATCCAGGAGAATGCAGCTACAAGGCAGATGGAAAAAAATCCCATGATCCTTAGGGTAAAATAGCAAAGTACATGGTAAAACTGCTCTTTTAATGACATTTCCACTGCTAAGACCATTTTCTGTTTCTGGTCTTGAGCCATTTGACTTTGGCAAGGACTTTGGTGATGAGAATTTTCCTTTCCGAGTCTTCAGTAGCTGTGGCTGCTGAAGAGGTGGGGGCTGCAAGCAGCCTCAGAGACAGCTGTCATAGTTCATCTCTGCAAGAGTCAATCCCCTTGATAATGGCTATGGGGACGTCAGAGTAGAAGCAAGACATGTCTTTAGAAGGGTGCTGGGCTGTCTCCACCTGGGTGTGAGTGGAGGTGGTGGTGGTGGTGGTGGGTCATCCGTGAGGCACATGCCACCCCCGTCTTTCTCTCAGGATGCCTTGGTACTCTAGTCAAGTTGGCATGGTGTGGATGGTCCTCTAGCCAAGCTGGAAATGGTGTGGATGCAATTGGATCTTCAGTATGGCAAACACGTTATGAGGGGATTTTAATGTTTAATTTCACCTTTTCTTTCAGTAACCATAAGAACTCTTTGTTTCAGAGTGTTGATCACATTTGCTCAGTTCCTCCAGAAATGTCCATATGAAGATCATATAAAATTAGTGAATGAAGTCGTGGAATTTGCAAAAGGCTGTGCTGCTGATGAGACAGCAGAAAATTGTGACAAATCCCTTGTGAGTAGAGACTCTGTGGTTGAGTTTGACCTTCTCTCTTCATTTCATTTTAGATAGGAGATCAGAGTCAACAATAATGTGTCCCACCATTTCTCTCTTTGTTCTTGGACTTCTCACCAGTCCAGAACTGCTCCCTCTTGTTAAAAAATGTAAGGAATTGTTCTGAACTAAGAGGAAGTCAAATGATTTGAGGGGAGCAGAAGACTGTCAAGGCAGCTGCCTCTCCTAACTCCTTGTCTCATGAGTCTTGCCCCAGTCAAATAAGGAAGTCCAGTATTTCCAGAGCTTTAAATGGGTCCATGACTAACCACGTATTTTTTTTCCCTCCTAGCACCAACTATTTGGCGATAAGTTATGTAGTCTGCCAAATTTTCGGGAGAGGTATGGTGAAATGGCAGAGTGCTGCACTAAAGAAGAACCTGAGAGAAATCAATGTTTCCTGAGCCACAAAGATGACCACCCAGACCTCCCTAAAATCGAAGCCGCTAATGCTGACACTCTTTGCCACAACTTCCAAGAGAATGCAAACAGAGTTCTGGGAAAGTAAGTGAGATCAGAAAGTGAGTGTAGGGGCTGGTGGGTCAGCATAGGAGCCAAACAACCCTGGCACAGGTCATAGTACTAACTGTATGGGACTGAGGGAGAAGGGGAATAAGCATTCATGAAGTACCTAGTATGTGCCGGGCCATGGGCTAAGGGGTTTACAAATATTCTTTTATTTGATTCCCATAACAAATTATTTAGATGTTGGTATGATTCCCATTTTATGGATGAAACAACTGAGGCAGATAGAGATTATGTGACATGCCCAGTGCCACACAGCTACTAAGTTCTCAGGTTTTCCTGCATCCAGACCCCATGCTTTATCCACTGTGCCATCTAGTTGGAAAGGGCAAGTCATTTAAGCTCCTTGGGCCTCAGTTTCCTCATCTATGAAATGAGGGAGTAGGATCCGATGATCTTTGTGCCCCTCTGTAGCTCTAGAATCCTGTGGTCTGAGTGCCCCAGCAGCCTGGCAAAGACTACTGTTATTGAAAAGTGGCCAGTCTGCAGAGATAGATTGAGTTTGCCTGCTTAGCATTTCCTATGCTCAGAGCAAGATTTACATTTGGGGTCCTACGGGTGGTAGACTCAGAGAAAACGAACATATTTGTAGCACTTTGATCAGTGTGGAAACAACAGCATTCAGCCTTGAGTTAGCAGGAATACCTTTTCAATAAAGAAGATGCTGGGTCTTGGTGAATGACTCCCTATGCATGGTCTTCCCTGAGACTTCTGCTGCCTCTCAGGGGGACTGTGTCTTCACTTGTGAAGCAAAGTGGCTTTTACATCATTTGCCCTCGGCCTTGGTGGTGGGGTTTGCCACCTCCTCCCTACGAAAACATACCCCTCCTCTTCCCCATCTCTTTCACATCATACCCTCATCGTGTCCTCTTTGAAAAATAATCGTGTAAACTAATTCACATTCAATTCTTTTTTTCCACATTCAACTCTTAATAATTGAATTCTGTTACCCTAAAGGTGTTTTCTTTAGAAAGAGGATTCTAAGAGATACAATTCCTTAACCTCAAGGAGTGAATTTGTAGTGAATAGTGAAATATTCTGTGTACAGCAGGCCAGTGAAAGAGATGTTTTGAACGTGAACTTCTTTTGAGTCTCCTCCAATCCCATATATTTTCACTGTATTTCCAAGCCTAATGCTGGTTAGTACATAAGCAATTTAACTGTGATACTTATGGAAAACAATGTCTGTCTGAAATACTTTTGAGTCTCTCAGTGAGAATAGTATATGCTGTGTAATTTTTCAAATGTAGAAAGTATATTCTCCTTAGAAAAGACATACAGCTTGTTTTATGAGGATAGAGAATATTAACGATGTAATATTGCATAACATAACACACCAATTCCTAGATAGAACTGAAAGAATGCCAATGAAGTCACAGCTCCAAATTAGAGGGGGCAGCAGACGTCAAATTTAGTTAGGTTCAGCTGAGAGAGTAAACTTATCAATTGATGTGGGTACACAACTGAAGACATTTATTAGTGATAGCTATTCAAAAGTGACCATTTGGTTCTCTTTGCCAATTTCAGGTACCTGTATGAAGTTGCCAGAAGACACCCGTACTTCTATGCCCCTGCACTCCTTGCCTACACTTTTCAGTACAAGGATGCAGTGGGAGAATGTTGCCAGTCTGCTGACAAAGCTACGTGCCTCCAAGAAAAGGTATTTGAGAGAGAGAAGGGGCGGGGGGAGAGAGACACACACATACACACACACACACACACACACACACACACACACAGAGAGAGAGAGAGAGAGAGAGAGAGAGAGGAGAGAGAGAGAGAGAGAGAGAGAGAGAGAGATAAAATCAGTGTGGGACCTGTCACCTGGACCCAAGAAGTCCCATCTTCCTTACCATGATCGTCTATCAGCACCTTCTTGAGTCCTGGCCCTTGGCTTGAGAGGCAGTGTGGTACAGTAGAGAAGGCTCTTGGGGTGGGTGGGGTGAAGTGAGGAGCGTTTGGGTTGAAGTCCATCTCAGATGCTCACTAGCTGTGTGACCCTCTGCAGGTCACGTCCTTTCTCCCAGCCTCAGTTTTCTAATCTGTAATCTGAGGGGGTGGTACTTGGTGCTCTTTCCCGCTCTAAGTATATGACCCTTCCGTTATTCCTCTTCAGTACTGTCCTCACTTCTGTGAAGGGGAGGGTGATAGAGTCTGCCTCTGTGTTGCTTAAACTTTCCAATCCCCTGACTCATTTCACTAGTTTGATGATGCAATTGAGAACTTCCTGCATCCTGGTGTCAGCCTTGTGTGTGTGTGTGTGTGTGTGTGTGTGTGTGTGTGTGTGTGTGTGTGTGTGTGTGTGTGTGTGCATGTGTGTGCGTGTGCAGGCATGTGAATTTATATTTGTGGAATAATTTGGAGTGGGCAGAGTCTACTGTAGGCAGAAGAGTGAATTGTGCTGCAGGTGAGATTGGGAACATTAGGTAGGGCTAAAGATGGAGCTGCTGACATAATTTTGTTGTTGACTAGTCTTTTTCAGTCATGCCTGACTCTTTGTTGCTCCATTTGGTGTTTTCTTGGCAAAGGTACTTGCCAAGGTAAATGCCAAAGGTTTGCCATTTCCTTTTCCAGCTTATTTTGTAGATGAGGAAACTGAGGCAAACGGGGATAAGTGTCTTGCCTAGGTTCACACAGAGTGTAAGTGTCAGAGTTGAACTCATGAACATGAGTTCAATATATATATATATATTTACTTATATATATTTATTTATATACAGTATTTATATACTGATTCTTCATTGTGCAAAGTATCCCACTGCAGTAACATTTCCAAGTAAGCTCTCCCCCCAAAAGTTCCTCCCCTCTCAAAATATACCCTTTGGCATTTTTTTTTAACTTTTAGGCAATTGGAGCTAACTGACTTGCCCAGGGTCACACAGCTAGTAAGTGTCAAGTGTTTGGTCTGAGGCCTGATCTGAACTCAGGTCCTCCTGACTTCAGGGCTGGTGCTTTATCCACTGCACCACCTAGCTGCCCCTTCCTTACCTCTTTGTCACCATACTCTCAGCCAGGTATCTTCTTAAATAATCTTTTAAATTAATTCAAATTCAGTTCTGAATTATTGAATTTTCTTATCCTAATAGTGTTGTCCTTCCAAAAGAGGATTCTAAGAGATACATTTCCTTAACCTCAAGGAGTGACTTTGTGGTCAGTAGTGAAATTTTAGGTGCTCAGTAATCCAGTGAAGGAGATGTTTTGAATGTGAACTCCTTTTGGCTTCCACACAAATCCTATGCATTTTTACTTTATTCCCAAGTCTAATGAGAGTTAGTAAATAAGGAATTTAACTTTGATAGGTATTGAAAAAAATTTCTTAAATACCTGTGAAACTGTCTTTGAGAACAACATATACTATATAATTTTCCAAACGTGGAGAGTATATCCTACTTAGCAAAGATATATAGCTTGTTCTTTCAGGATAGAGAATGTTAAAGATGCTACACTGCATAGAAGAGCACAGATGGAGAGGTGGGAGGGACCTTGGAGATCCTTATGTTTACTAATTTCATGACAGGGGAGGAAACTGAGGCCCAGAGAGATTCAACATTCAATTAATTGATGACTGTGCTTGTGGCTGATTGACTTGATGATTCACACATCATGTTAATGGAAATGAAGGTCCTAGCTTCAATTCCAATCCACCAAGCAATTATCAATCCTCTATTAGCTCCCATTAAGTTCCTACCAACACCAAGAGAAAACTCAAAGTATCCTCTGTCCTCTTGGATCTTATAACGTATTACATACTGGTGAGATTATCACTGACCATTCCTAAATCTGAACAACTCCCTTTAATTGTGTCACCATGGTCATAAGAAGTGCCAGGAAAGGGGCCATTAAGGGCTTAGCTGAAAAATCTATCACCACTACCGAGAAAAGGAGCCCAAGTGCAGTATCGACTATTGGTGTGTGCGCAAAGCTATCTTCACATAATGGAGGATCTTTTAACCTTTTTTTGTGTCATGGGCTGTCTAGTGAAGTTTATGGGCCTTTCTCAGATTCACGTCTTTCAGTGCATAAAAGGAAATATGTAGGATTAGAAAGGAAACTAATAATATTGAAATACACCTATCAAAAAATCTCTGTCTCTATTTCTCTCTCTCATTCATGGAAGTAATTCAGGTTAAACTCCTTAAATTTTGAAGAAAATGTTGAAGTAATTTGTGAGGACTTTGTGGGGAATTTATTTTTCATATTAATGAAAATACGGAAATTATTTTTGAAAAAAGTGATTTATTTTTTGTACAGCTTCCTGCTTTGAGAGAAAAAGTATTATCTGCAGGTGCAAGACAGAGATATCGATGCTCCAGTTTAGACAAGTTTGGAGAGAGAGCTGTCAAGGCTGGGTAAGTCTCTAAGTTTCAATTGCCTAAAAGACATTGTATTTGCTGTAGAATCAAAGATGGGAAAAGGCCTAAGATTCCAATATCTCTAGCTCCCACGAATTTCTGTTGTTAATTTCATGATTTGTAAAAAAGTAAAAAAATTGTTACAAGTGAAATTCAACAAAAAGGTAAACCAAGGCACTTGCTCCCAGCTAGACAACAATTTATTATCAGGGCATTAGCTATTAGTAGAATGGGTCTAATGACAGCCTCAATTAGCCAAAAGATGAAGAATTGAAGATGCAAGTCATTTTTATAAGCAGAGAACAAAGTAGAGAACAGAGTAGGTGACATCATGGGGTTGAAGACAACGTGATTGGTTACATAGCTGAAGCACAGGCACAATATCACCGATTGGACGTTGGAAATGAGGGCAAGCAATAGCTCCTTTCTTCCTTCCTGAGACTGAGAAAATTTCATGGTCGAGCCCACTTTCAATGTTAAAAACTAGTGGTCCAGACTTCTTTGTATAGTAAACCAGACATGATTGAAGGAAAGCCTGCCTTGTGTGCATGGTCATCCCCCAAGGGCAGCAGAAACCCTTGAGGCCATAATAGAACAGTGACTAGCAGCAGAACTGTATTTCTAAACTGAAGTCATTCATGTTAGTGTATTTCTGCACTAAATTCAGAGACAGAGAACCACAGTTTAGTCAGTTACAGGACAAAATCAATAGTCTGGCAAATAAGATCAATACAAAAAGATACAGAATCAACATAATTCTCACAGAATTGAACATTTCCTATTTGGTCGTTTCAGTAAAAGTGGCAGGCGTTTCCATTCCAGTTTTATAAGTAAGGTCTAGAAAAGGTTTATTTTTTAACTTGGAGTATTAAAGAGGCTTTTTGGGAGGGTTTCCCACAACTCCACTCTCCCTTCATCCCTGCTTGATGCAGATTGACGCTTCAATTCCTCCTCCTGCCATATTGGTGAGGAGGTCTGGTTCTCTCTAACCCTCTGGCTACCACTTTGACTCACACTGTAGCCTCATTCAGCCCAGCTAAGCCCTGATTCTCTCTCTCTCTCTCTCTCTGTCTCTCTGTCTCTCTCTGTCTCTGTCTCTGTCTCTCTCTCTCTGTCTCTCTCTGTCTCTGTCTCTGTCTCTCTCTCTCTCTCTGTCTCTCTCTGTCTCTTCTTCTCTCTCTCTCTTCTCTCTCTCTTCTCTCTCTCTCTCTCTCTGTCTCTCTCTCTCTCTCTCTCTCTCTCTCTCTCTCTCTCTCTCTCTCTCTCTCTCTCTCTCTCTGTCTCTCTCTCTCTCTCTGCCATGTTGGTGATGTAATCGGGGTTAGGTAACCTGCCCAGGATCACAAAGCTAGTATCATGTGTCTGAGGCTGGGTGTGAACTCAGGTCCTCCTGACTCCAAGGCTGGAGCTCATCCACTGTGCCACCTAGCTGCCCCCTGATTCTCTTTTCATTGTAAAAGTACTCATCCATCTTGGGTTTGACAGCCCAAGCACTTTGCCATAGTGGGGTCCCCACAGTACCCCATAGAATCTCTAGGTAACCATGTTTATTAATTGCTTGGAATTTGCAAAAAGAGTGATAGATGTGGCCAATGCCTTCTAAGACCATAAAAATATAATACCGAAGGCTGCTGTTAACAGCAAGGTTTGGAAAATCCTTTCTCTTCCCAAAAGTTCATGAAAAGGAAGTATGGCAGAGTGTATAGAGTGTTGTCCTCCAAGTCAGAATGACCTGGGTTTAAGTCCCATCTGCTACACAATCATCATTTAACTATGGGCATATCACTTCACCTTTCAGTGGCCAGCCTAGTTAAGATTTGAAGATTATAGATGAGTTGCATTGGTATAGGGAGTTTTGACTAGGAGTTCTTTGTGCCACCAGAACAATGATAACAGAAATGTCAGGTTGATTATCCAAGTACTGTAGTTGGTAAGAGCAAGAGGCCTGACCCACTCATCAATATGGCAGGAGGAGGAAATGGGTCATCAGCTAGAGGGACTGTCTGCATGAAGGAGCTTTCCAAGGCAGCAGGGGAAGATTAAAAACCATGTTGTGAAACTCTGAGGCTGAAGATAAACATTTGCAGGTCCTATTGAAAAGTTTGGAATGCAAATACTTGCCACATTGATTAATAGGACTAAAAAGAAGAGAAAATGTCCCAGAAGTCTTTGCCTTCTGGGAAGAAGAGTGACTTCAGATCAGTACTGATGCAAGTTCGTGGTAGACAGGTGATGCAATGGAGGTGCAGAATGAAATACATGTTCTCTGACACGGCCAGTATATTGCCTTGTTTTGCTGAGCTACCGTATGTACATATGTATCCCAGGGAAGGTTTCTCCTGGGGGTGAGGTAGACAGGGAAGGGGTAAATTAGTGGGTAGTGACAGAGATGCAAAAAAGGATCCTTTAAACACCTAAAAGAAATACATAGAAGCAAACAAAATGCAGGAGGGGACATAAACAGCACAATATTTGTTCATGTATCTTTCTTGTTAAGTGCATATATAGGGATAGGAGGACTGGGCCAGTGATTTCATTGGTATAAAGAACTCTCAGTTAAGGAAACTTCCTTGACTAATGTAGGCTGGCACCTTCTCCGCACCTTCTAGTCTTAGAGAGTTGACCAGAAAAGTGAAAGGTTGAGTGACTTGGTCAGAGTCTCTAATATACACATATGACATATGTCTATGCACATCTATATGTGAGTAAATGACTTGGAAAGCAGATTGTGTAGCAGAAGCTCACAGGTATTTTTTAACATATAATCTTTCTTTGTATAAAGTTTATTTGTGTTGATGATTGTTAAAGTTCTAATGAAATAGAACAGAAAAAAACACTTGGTTATGGTCCCTGCCTCTGCAGCTGGTTAGCTTTGGAACCTTGGGAAAACCCCTCTGCCCCTTCAGTGTCCTCATCTGTAAAACAGACATCACTCCAGCGGCATTACTTTGGATTGAGGGACTCACATGGCAGTGCTTTGTAATGAAGAGGTGCTCTATCAAAGTCAGCTGCTAAGTCAGCATGCACCGGCCCAGTCAGAGCTAAGGGACCTTTCTCTACTCACACCTACCCCAACCACTGTGTCCTCCCTTGCCCAACTCTCCCTCTTGTGGGACCCGGAAATAGTTTCCTCCTTAAGGAGAGCAGTCAACCTCTTGGTAAGCGTTCCATGCAAGTATTTCCTGTGACTGAATGAAAATAATAGAAGATGAGGATTTTTTTTCTGATCAAGTTCTGTTGTCAATATAGGTTAGTGTATGTATCTGGATGCCTAAGAAGTATTGTGAGAGACTCAAAAGTCAGGATTCTCTGTTGCTGGAGGTCCTTAGAAGTCATGGGAACATCGCACATCCTTTAACAGGTTTTGGTGCCAGATGGCCTGGAGGGGTCACAGAGTGGCTAGTTTCAGAAGACCTCTCTTCGCTCTATGATTAATTATATTGAAGGACTAAATGGTTAACCATCCTGCCCTTCTTTACTGATCATAAACTTAGAGTACCTTGTAAGTGCTTATGCTGGCATTGAGAACAATAAATAATAGCTAGCATGTATATTATGCTTTTAGGTTTTCAAAGTGTTTTGACAAATATTATCCTCAATAGCTGGACCAGAAGGTAGATGCTATTTTTCTTCTTCCTATTTTGCAGATGAAGAAATTGAGGCAGATAGGGGTTAAGTGATTTGCCTAGAGTGATGCAGCTAGTAAGTATCTGAGGCTGGATTTGAACTGGTGTTCCTCGCTCCAGGCTTAGGTAGTGATGGTGTCTGTGATGATAGTTCAGACTCAGCACTGATGTTATATTTGGCTGCACCTCCGAAATACTTCCTATGTGTCAACTCATTCAAGAATTTCATAGCAGTTTAAAAAATGATTTCCAGGAAATTTTTGTGGAAGTTTTAAATGCTAATAATTTACCTCTTGTAAATTTTCTTCCTAGACTCGTAGCTCGGCTAAGTCAGAAGTTCCCCAAGATTGAATTTGGTGAACTTCATAAAATAGTGGAAGATCTTACCAAGGGTTATAAGGAATGTTGCCATGGTGACCTGTTGGAGTGTGCTGATGATAGGGTCAGTATTTGCTGGTATTACCCCACATTGTTTTTGTATAAGCTTTTCTATAATGTACTGGTATGAGCCTTTTTTTATACCCACAAAGAAGAAATTTAGAATCAGAGGAATCATAATGAGTAAATTGGAATCTGTAGTTTTTTTCAGACCTCAGCTTATTGTGTCAGCCAGCCAGTCAATTGGCATATTTAAGCACCTACTGTATGCCAGGCAGTAGTCTAAGCTTGTTTCCCTCTCTATAGAAAGCCTTTTCTAATCTCCTCAGCCTCTCCTTTCTTCCAGCAGAAAATTACCACATCTGACTTGTATATATTTCTACAAAACTTATGTATATACTTGTTACCTTCCTGGATAAATGTGAGCTGTTAGAGGATAAGCATTTTTTGCCTTTGAATTCCTGAGGGTGTAGCATAGTACCTTACAAGTGGAAGGCACTTAATTACTTGCTGCTGTATAAAATAAGGGAGTTCCTTAGCAAGATGGTGAAGTACCGTAGAGAAGGTTTCTTGCTAGTGTTCTTATTGCTTCTCCCCAAGCCCCTTTTTAAGAAATTTTCATACTCCCTCTGATTCCATGGTTTGTATCACTTTCAAACTCTCTCTATTACTTCCCTTAACAAAATGAATTTTTATAGTATCATTAGTATTATTTTTGTTATTATCTTGAAAAAAAACACACTAATTGAGGCTAAGGTCAATATTGCTGTTGGCCAATTTGTCAGACAGTCAATAAGCATTTATTAAGCACCTCCATGTGCCAGATACTGTGCTATATACATTGGGGATGCAAAGAAAGACAACAATAATCCCTGTCCTCAAAAAGCTTACATTCTGGTGGGAGGAGACCACATGCAAATATATAATGCATATGGAAGGTATACTTAGAGTACATGGGAGGTAATCTGAGGAGGGAAAGGTCTTACAGCTGGAGGACCTCTTCATCTATCTTAAAACAGCCAAGGATTCTGAGATGCAAAGGTGAGGGGGGCAGAGCACTGAGGCATGGGGGACGGACAGTGTCCCTAGTTTGGAGAGCTTATGGAATGGAGTGAAGTAGAAGAGTAGCTGCAAGGTAGGAGGAGGACAGGCTATGGAGCAGTTTGAATATCAAACAGAGAAGTTGATGTTTGATCCTGGAGGTACTAGGAGTCGCTGAGCTCACCAAACAGGAGAGTGACGTGTGTAGACCTAAGGCTGGGAAAAATCAGCCAAGTGGAGGATGTATAGGACTGAGGAGAGACTTGAGCTGCACCCAAGTATTGAAGTGCAGGAGAAAGGAGGGAGAATGAACCAGGGGAGGTTGACAAAACCCAGTAGAGTCTGGACAGGGTGATTCATCTGGTTGGGTTGAACTTCAAAGGAAGACAGAGAATGCAGGTGGTAAGGTAAGGGTCTTAAAGTGGCAATGAGGGGGCAAGGAATCCCCTGTCCCCATTCTCTCTTGGCTGTGTGTGTGTGTGTGTGTGTGTGTGTGTGTGTGTGTGTAACATGTAAGAATGAGAGAAGGGACATCCCATTCTGAAGAGAGCTTGGGCAGGGATGAAATGTCTCCAGGTGAATGTCAGTTTTCTGAGCCTGCAAGGATATGGAAGGAGCTCGAGAGGAAGGAGTGCAAGTGAAGAACAATTTGTTAAGAATAAGGAGGATCTAAGGGCATTGTGGAAGGGATAGGCAGAGTTGGATTGGAGTGCTTAGACTATTGAGCCTTATGTTGAACTGCTTCTATCTTGTGGCTTGTAGGTGGCTCTTTCTGAGTACGTTTGTAAGCACAAAGATACAATCTCCTCCAAACTCGGAAAATGCTGTGACAAGCCTGTAATCCAGAAGAGCCAGTGCATTGCTGATCTGGAGAATGATGACATTCCTGCTGACCTCCCTAACTTCCTTGCTGAATATGTAGAAACCAAGGACGCCTGCAAAAACTACCAGGAAGCAAATGAAGTCTACTTAGCCCAGTAATGAAACTTTTAATCTTATTCTTGTGTTCCTTTCATATGCTTGATGCCATTCACCTGATACTGTACTTGCTTCACAGTTGTAGAGCTGCTGGCTACTCCTTGCCTTGTCCTCTCCCAAGCATTTTAGGCAGAAATAGAGACGAACATTCTTCTCATGTCTTATGCTGTACTTAGTGATGGGATCCAGGCTAATGACTCTGGGACTCCAGCTCAATTGTACCTCATCTTTGGCTCCATACAATTTACTCACTTTCCTTCAACCTCAAAAAGAGACCAATGATGGCAAGAAATCATAATTTCCTGGCTTTGTCCAGAGAAGACAGATATCTGGGAACTTGGAGACAGTTTTGGACATGTGCTGGCTGCAGGAGTACAGAGCACTGTAAAATCTCCTTTTAGCCCTGAAACTACCTACTTTGTGGCCTTGAGACTTGACAAAAGTATCATTCATTAATTAGGGGAGAAAAGGAAACTTTGTATTGTCTTCTGTCTGCTGAGCTTTTCTTTGTCCATCCATGCATCCCACCATATACTGATCCATCCATTCATTCACTCTCATTCATAGAACAAATACGTGTTGAGATCCATATTACTCTCAGTGTTCTAAACAAGGCATTGTAAGGGATACCAAGAAGCATAAGATAGAATGTTAGCATTCCAGGAATGTACAGACTAATTAAGAAGGTGGTAGCCATCCAGACATGTGACCACTAAACAAGAGTAGAAGGCGGTATGGAGTTAAGTGCTATAAATGTGGAATTGGGAGATATGTTTCTGGTGTCCTCTGGACTTAGAGTAGCGTTGCATAGAGCTGATGTTTTGAAAAAAAGGAAAATTTAACACCATCTGGTGAATCCACCAATACAAAGACCAATAGGCAAAGTTAACTCTACACATTTTATCTCAGAAGTTTCTGTTGTAATTTCACAAAATTCATGGAACCTTAGGCCAGAGGAATAATGCTGGGGCTGATCCTGTTCCTTACCATGCTCACGTGTGTTTGGTCTTCATTCTTCAGCTATCTGTATGACAGTGGAAGAAGACACCCTGAGCTTGCTGTTACCACACTGCTGAGGCTTGCCAAGGACTACGAACACACACTTGAGAAGTGTTGTGCCACAGCTGACCCTCCTGCTTGCTATGCCAAAGTGGTAGGTTTCTCATGAGATAGAAAAAAAATCAAACTACTCCCCTGGGATGCCATATGCTCAGGATTGCTTGATTCGGAAATGATAGCACAGTACATAAAAAAGAGGAAAAAAAGTACAGTCTTATGAATGCTAATTGGACCTTACCTTGGGACTCTTGGCTCATTCTGGGCTTTCAAATCAGGTTGTTATGAACAATGTTTCAAAGAATTAAGAAGAGTTACCCTGGAGATGGGAAGGCTGCAAATGAGACTCTGTCAATCTAGAACAGCTCTTTGAGAAAGGAGAAAGTTTTGCTTGTCTTCATTTCCACTAAGACAGAATGAGAAAAAGCATTGTGAGAGGTGCAATAGAAGAGAGACTCAATTTAGCCCGGACAGAAGAATTTCTGAGTTGTCCTGAGCATGAGGGTCATTAGGAAGTAGAATTGGAATGTCCACGTACAGAAGTCTTGAAAACCCTTGTTTGACCTTTGAGGTGTGCTTTTGCATGAAATGAAATGAGCTGGATGGAATGACTGCTGTGGGCCAATTTTAATATGATTTCTAAAATTGGTATATATGTACATGTGATGTGTCTACAGGGGACGTGCTCCAAGTACCATTTTATTTTCTTTCAGGCTGATGATCGGAAAGCCATTATTGAGGAGACCAACCATTTAGTCAAGTCAAATTGTGATATTTTTGAAAAACTTGGAGAATACGGTTTTGAAAATACGTGAGTGGGAACTAGCTGTTTGAACAGTTTTGAATATTTAAGGTTTAATAGGATGGAAGGTGGTGGTTGTAGTTTGCCCTTTGTTCTTGAAGAGGACCATGACATCAGAAAGATGATGCCATGCCTTGCAAATGAATTGGAGTTAAGTGAGGCAGGGCTGTTCAAAGTCACCAGCCTCACTTTGTTCTCCAGAGCCATCTGGGTCCAGTGGCCAGACATAGATCAAGATAACTAGAGATGGCCCAGCAGGAGAAAAAGGCAGTCTCTTATAAAAGGCCATAAAACAGAAAAACTTCATCTTTCCCTTTCAAAGTGCTATGTAAGCCTGTGGTCCTTTTAATGATTTGGAGTTGAAAGGGCAGCACTTGGCCTGTCTACTGGTTTGCTACTACTCATAGAGTTGGGGCATGGGGCAGTGAAGAGAGTGCTGGGTTTGGAATCAGCACCACCTGAGTTTGATACTGGGTTCTGACCTGACTCTGGCACTTGTTAGGTGTGTATTCTTGTGCAAATTAGTAGGACTCAGTTTCCTTCTCTGCAAGATGAGGTTGTTGGACTCAGTGGCCTCCAAGACCCTTTCCAGTTCTAAATCTGTGGTCCAGTGTTGAACTAAATAAACTTCTTTGGCACGGAAAGCTGAAGCTTTAAATGTGATGTGATCCAGTGCTAAAAAAAAAAAACAAAACAAAAACAAAATACGAAAATCTATGGAAGGAAGCAACAGAGCAGGGAATGCCAGACTTGTTTAGGCAACCATGAGGCTTGGGACCCCATCTGAAATGTAAACAAAATGATTCAGGACAAATAAATGATTGGACTACTCTTTGTAATGGAGCATAAACTTGTAGAGTACCAAGAGGTGGTAGAGACGAAATAGTTATGTAAGTTCAATGTTTAAGAAAGACCCACGTATGACAGATTAATACTGGGGGAAATTGGGATATTTGGGAAACTTCCATCATTGAAAATGTGAACATCATTGCGGGGATCTATGAAGCCTCAGAAAATGTCCCTGTCACCACTATGCAAAACACAGTATTGGGGAGAATGGATGAGTGGTGGAGGCCATGACAGTGGAGAGCCATAGAGATAGAAAAAGGGAAGGGCCATATTGACTGCCAGGGATGGTCAGTTTAATGATTTCAACTGACTCTGAGTAGGTGTTTATTGCTTCAGAAGTTTTTTATGCTATTAGTATTATTGTTGTTGTTTTACTTAAAGTGATTCTTTGACTACGACCATTTGGAACATTGTAATTACAGAGTACTGGCCAGTTATACCAAGAAACTACTTCCACTGTCAACCCCAACATTGTTGGGCCTTGCACATCAGTTTGGAAAAGTTGCCAGTAAATGCTGTAAACTCAGTGACCAAGAAAAAGTGGCCTGTGCTGAGGGCTATGTGAGTTGTCTTTTTCTTTGCTACTTTAATGCTACTGTTGCGAGTTTTTGCCTTGAGATGACAATAAACAATTTTGTGGCAAAGGAGTGCCCTTTATAAATGTTGGTTACTTCTCCTCTTAAGCAGAGCACCTAAAAATCCCATATGAAAACCCCTTTATGGGTTTATTTTAAAAAACCCTATATTTTCAAAAGGGTTAAATTGCTCATGTAACTGAGGCTAAAAATTCAATGGCAAAAATTGGACTGAGGCTAGGAGTAAGGGTGTTCTTCAATATAACAGTTTAATTTAGTCCATGAAATACTAATGTGTTCACCCTACTCGTGTGGTGAATTCATTCAATTTTTCCTTTTGCTTTAGGGGCTATTGTATTTGACAATCTGTGTCGCCTTCATGAGAAGACCCCAGTGAGTGATAGAATCACCAAATGCTGCACAGACTCGTTGGTGGGCCGCACTCGCTGCTTCACTGCCGTGGGAGATGATGACACATATGTACCCAAGGCATTTTCTGCAGACACATTCACCTTCCATGCTGACCTGTGCACACTTCCTGAAGAGGAGAAACAGAACAAGAAGCAAAGGTCAGGAGCATTTGGTCTCCTGCATTCCTCAAACTCATTTGCTTCCTCCTTGAGAATGAGAAAGACATTCTGCTGACAACACGAGCAAACCTTTCTGCTTTAGGGCAAGAATCGGTCAGGGAAAAGAATTTAGAAAGTGATTTAGGTGCAAGTCACTCAGAAGAAACTTGTGGGGCAAATGGTTGTAGTTGAGTGGTATCTAATACCAATGACTGCTATTAGTATGTATATAGATTTTAAAATTTCCAAAGTACTTTTACATATATTATCCCCTTTGATCTTCACAACAGCCCTGAGACATAAGGGTTAATATGATCCCCATTTTACAGATGAGAAAACAGAGGCTTAAAAAGATAAAGCAACTATCTGAGAGTCACACAGCTAGTGAGAATCTTAGGCAGTTTTTGAATTCAGGTCTTTTTTTTCCTTTTTTTTCTTTTTTCCCCCTTTTTTCTTTTCTTTTGTTTTATTTTTTCTTTTTCTTTTTTTTAATTTTTTTTCATATGCTTTTGAGTTGAAAATTTTTTCTCCCTTTTTCTCCCCCCCCCAAGACGGTGCACAATCTGACATAGGCTTTACATTTACATACCCATTAAACATATTTTCACATTAGTGAAGTTGTAAGTAAAAATTAAAACCAATAGGAGGAACCACCAGAAAGATGAAACAAAATTCAAGTTAAGGTAAAAATAAGTGAGAGCAATCCGACTTCCATAGTTCTTTCTTTGGATGTGGACAGCATTTTCCATCCCAAGGCCTCTGGAGATGTCTTAGATCCTCGTAATGCTGAGAAGGGTTCAGTTTAACATTCTTAGTCATTGCATAACGTGGCTGCTATTGTATACAAAGTCCTCTGGATTCTGCTCACTTCACTCAGCATCAGACCATATAAGTCTTCCCAGGTTTTTCTGAAGTCAGCCTGTTCATCATTTCTTATAGAACAATAGTGAATTCAGGTCTTCTTGACTTCAAATCCAGCAGTGTATCCACCATGGCACCTAGCTATCCATCTAAGTCTACTGCCATTCAACAGACAGTCAAACAGAGAGCTAGGTCACTCTGTAGAGGATCTGTCATTTTGAATAATGCAAACTAAAGGACCATCTCTCTCTGGTTAGAGGTGATGAAGCCCATGGTAAGATGTCTAGGATCCCTGAAGGGGAAGGCAGGAAAATGTCCCAAGGTGTCCCTAATGCCTCCAAAAGGATCATCTTTACTCATGTCTTTCTCCAAACCTCAGGCTTCAATGTGAGGACCTCTCCTCTGAATTGTGACCTAGAACTAAGGCCAGATGAAGCATGATTGGTCAACCTGCTTGCTCCTTGACTTTCATGGGCATTTCTGTGTTTTGTCTCATTCCAGTGTACTGGTGGAACTCGTGAAACACAAGCCCCACATCAGTGATGAGCAACTCAAGGGTGTAATTACTGATTTCACTGCATTTGTGGACAAGTGCTGCAAAGCTCCCAACCAGGAAGCCTGCTTCGCTGAAGACGTATGGACTTCTCTTTTCTTTTTATTGCATTTACCTTTGGCAGTCTTTGGTGATGCCTCTAATGGGGGCTTGGCCAGGAGTACTTAGGTGCCACCACTGGTCATTCTTAAAGCAAGAGGCTATTCCCTTTTTGCCCTTGACTAAAATATTCCTATATGTCCATTGAAAGCTCGGTTTGTGTTGTGCATTTGTAGTTTTCTTTCACTTGTCAAATGGTTATCAGTCTCCCCTGTCTCCTATGTGTCAGGACGAATGAAAATCATGCATGTGTAGCATTTGAGGCATGCATAAGACTTAGTGGTAGAATTCCTTTAGCTGGCCATCTTTTTGGCTGTAACCCAGCTGTAAGCTGTGCCTGTGCACAGGTAGTGAAACAGCCCCAGTTTCACCCAATCACTGAACCCAGAATCTTAGGGATGGAAGGGACCTCAGAGACCTTCTGGGTCAGGGCTTCTTAACCTTTTTTTTTTACAGACCTCTTTGGCAGCCTGTTGAATCCTATGGCTTCCTTCTCAGAATAATGTTTTTGAAAAACACAAAATTAAGTATACACACGAGTGTCAAGGAAACCAATCATATTGAAAAACAATTTCCAATATTAAAAAAATTACGAACCCCTGATGTATTCCAATCTCAACCCCGGAATTCTCTCTTCCCTACTTGACATTCTCATCCAGACTTCACTGGAAGACCTTAAGGGAGAAGAAGTCACTGCTTCACTCTTTAACATCTTCCCATTGCTCGTACAGGTTTTCCCACCATCTAGGGCCCAGTGAACAAGTCAAAACTCTCTTTCACCAAAGAATCTTTCCTATAGTTTCAACACCAGATGAATATACAGATAGGCACCTTTTCCTCGAGCAGGAAGCTAACATTCAAGGATGTTTATGCACACATATCTTCCCATGTCCTTTGATTGGAATGGTTTTGTATATTCAAGGGCAATGGATAATGCTCAAAGAGCCCCCTTTCAGGGACCTCAGTCTTGGACACTCTGGAATCTCTTTCTCACAAATCTGTGTTTTCTTTCCATGCAGGGTCCCAAACTGGTTGCTTCAGCTCAAGCTGCCTTAGCCTGATGGACAAGCTGTCACTAGTATTTCAGGTAACTCTCTTTGGGTATTTCATTGGCAATTGGTTGATATGTCAAGTCCCTGGGATTTCAGCTTTGTGGGACCATCTTCCACTGACATTTCACAGCTGATGGATACCTCAGTTGTAGTTGAGTTTAAATGATTGAGGATAAGCATCAGAAGTTGGGTACCAATCCAAATCCTCTTGACTCAATGTTCAGCACTCTATGCTGTGTTGCCTGGCATATGGGCAATACTGAGGCCTGAATTTAACTCTACACTCCCGGGCTGCCTTAGTGAATGGGGCTGGTGATCCTTGAGAAATGATCCTTCTTAGGATGGAGGCTGAAGGGGATCTGTTTTGTACTGAATCTTACCAAGGTATTATTGTAATAAATATCCAAGACAGGTACATATGAAATCTATTCTTCACCTCGGGAAGAAAGGACCCACTTTAAATTTGAGATCTGTATGGAAAAGTGTTTTCTTTGCACTCGTTGAATTCATTACTGCTTTGTGTTTTGTTTTAGATTCAATCTATCTGTTATCTTTTAAATAAGGAGAGACCTCTTTATAGAGGGTATGGAACCTTGCATATAGAATTGGAACTTAGTAGATGTGTCAATTCAGTTGAACTCTTTTTTTTTTTATTATAAAGAGTTTCTCTCTAGGAAGGGGAATTTCTTTCTAGGAAGGGGTAGGGGCAGGGATATATTGGGAAAAGTATATGATGTAAAATAAAAACAATCCCTCTACTTTTTTTCAAAAGGGAGGAGAAAATATTGCTTTTCCTTAGTAATGTTTAAAATCGTGGTTACTATGCATACCATTTGATTCAGTAATATCATTACTATGTCTGTATCCTAAAGACATTTTAAAAAAGGGAAAAGGACCTCTCTCTCCAAAAGTATTTATAGCTGCTCTTTTTTTTTGTGGTAAAGAATTGGATATTGAGGGGATGTTCATCATTTTGGGAATGGCCGAACAAGCTGTTAGGTATGATTGTGATGGAATAATATCGTGCTATAGGAAATGATGAGCAGGATGCTCTCAGAGAAACCTGGGAAGACTTACATGAACTGATATAAAGTGAAATGAGTAGAATCAAGAAAACATTGTACACAGTAAGAGCAATAGTATATGATATTCTACTGTGAATAACTTAGCTATTCTTAGCAACACAATGATCCAGGAAAATTCGTAAGGATTCATGATGAACAATGCTATCCACCTTAAAAGAAAGAGCTAATGGAGTCTGAATGCAGATTAGAACATGCTATTTTTCACCTTCTGCATTTTTAATGGTTTCTTTTCTTTTCTTTTTTTCTGTGTCTTCTTTCAGAACAGAACTAATGTGGAAATATGTTTTGCATGATTGCACATGTATAACATGTCAAACTGTTTACTGTCTTAGGGAAGGGTGAGGAGGGAAGGAGGGAGAAATTTAGAACTCAAAATTTTAAATAAATGAATGTTAAAATTATCTTTACGTGTAATTGGAAAAAATAAAATACTAAATTTTAAAATCATTTTTGCTTATATCTTTTTTTCTTCTAGTTGACCAGTGGAAGAAAACAGAGAGAGAACTGAGTACTCCAAATTCATGCATCTGTTTTGTTTCTCTGTTGGTGTCACCCCAACAGTTAAGAAAACATCAATTTTGCCTTAAATTTTTTTTTATCCTTCCCCAGTGTTGCAATAAATAATAAAGGAAAGCATAAACAATCATGGCAATTGTCTAAGATGATCTTTCCGTGGTGTGTGATGATGACTTGTACCAGAGGGTGTTACCCTCTTAGATCTACTGGTGCCTGAATTAGACTTTCTCTCCCACCTTAAGGAGTTTCCCCTAGACAAAGATACACAACTCCATACTTGCAAATTCATGAACATCAGCCTTACTTTTGAGTGGCTTAAAAGGATATGGACTTTTGGATTCTTTTTTTCTTCTTAACTTGGTGATGTGTCTAAAAATATCGGAGTGAGCCACAGGACCTGGATGGTCAATAGGCAAGTTCTAGTTACTAGATACATTAACAAGTATCTTCATCAATAGAAAATATGGCCAAAGTGTAAGGCCATGGCATGGATATTGCAGATGAATAATTAGGGCCAGGTGGGATAAGGGGATTTGAGACCCATAATGAAGATCCAAGCTGAGGTTATGGGGACAACTGGTCAGAGAAAGAGACATAATGGTGGGGGCTAAGTCTTTTCACTGCAGGAGGCAAACTGAATTGTTAAAAAGGAGAGTAAGCTAGGTGATGCAGTGGATAGAGCCCTGGATGCGGAGTGAGGAAGAGCTGAGTTCAAATCTGGTCTCAGACATTTACTAGGTGGGTAACCCTGGGCAACTCATTTAACCTCCTTTGGCCTCAATTTATTCCACTGTAAAATGGGGGATAAGAATAGCAACTACCTCCCAGGGTTTTGTGAGGACCACATGTCAAAATAATTAAGAAACGGCACAGTTCCTGGCACATTGTAGGCACTATATAAATGTTTTTGGTTATTATTATTGTTGTTCTTGTTGTGTGGTAGGAGGAGGAGGAAGGGGAGGAGGAGAAAAAGGAGGAGGGGGAGGAGGATAAGGAGGAGGAGGAGGAATGAAGGTGGTCAACAGATGTATGGTCAATGAGCCAGGTTAGAATGACAGAATCTGCCAGTGTAGCAAAGTAAGGTCCAAGACAAAGTGTAAACTCTCCTGCCAGGTGTCCTTGGATGCAATCTCTCTCCTCTTCAGTCTCTTCCCCACACCACCATCAAAGTGAAGATACTGAAGTCTGATCATGGCACTCCTCTCTTCCATAACCGCCACTGGCTCCTTTTGCCTTTAGATTCAAACAGGTCTTCTCCTGTCTGGCCTTGAAGCCTGTGACACCATGGCTCTGACCTTCCTTTCTAGGCTTAGTCTCCATTGCTCTCCTACATTCTCTCTCTAATCCCGCCAAACTGGCCTTCTTAGTGTTTGCTTACACACAGCTTTCCATCTCTGAGCCTTTGCTCAGGCTGTGCCCTCCTCCTGGTATTCCTTCCTCCTCACTTCTATCTCCTAGGATCTCTATTTTCTGTCAAAGTTCAGCACCAAGGCCATCTCCTCCATGAGCCATGTCTTGATCCCTGGGACCGCCTGCTACTAACGTTTCCCCTACACACAATCTTCTGTATTTCTTTCACTTATACTTGTGTGTGTACATGGTTTCCTCTTCTAACAGAATGTAAGCTCCTTTCCATTTTATTGTCTTGGTATTCCCTGTACCCAGCACAGTGGCTGTCAGGCAGTAGGAGTTTAAGAAGTGCCCTTTGGGGGTCAGCTAGGTGGTTCAGTGGATAGAACACCAGTCCTAAAGTCAGGAGGACCTGGGTTCAAATCCGGCCTGAGACACGTAACACTCAGTAGCTGTGTGTGACTCTGGGCAAGTCACTTAACCCCCACTGCCTCACCAAAAGAAAATTAATAGTAATAAAAAAAGGAATGCCCTTTGATTGAATGATTACAAAGTAATAGCCCAGACCTGTCCTAGGAGGGTGAGTTGTATCAGTGAAAGTTCTCCGTGGGTTATTGCTTTTTAGGAGGTGACTCAGGCCATTTAAATGATCCAACCGTGTGGAAAAGTCCCAGGTACATTAGGACATGTAGATAGAGGAAAAGGCTCTCGTGATCACAATGACCACTAACCATAGGGCTGTATTCTTAGACTCCCAGGCCTTTGTTCATTAAATAACCTGTGTTTAGTACCTTCTGTGCAGACAGTACCTTACTTGAAACTATAGGGGACAGATAAAATCATGTAATTATTTTTTTGAGGTGTGTTCAATTCTACCAAAGTTACTACAAAGTTACTTTGATGTTTTGTGGGAACAGGAGGAAAATGATCTCCATGTATCCTGTTTTGACCTAAAGATTTGGAATTCTTTTTCTTCTCTGAAGTCAGAATCTGCATTAAAGCACATTATTGCTTGAGATGCATTGGCTTATTCTCTGTCTTATGCTACCAGCATTCAGGGAGTATATGTGGATGGTGCAGTGGATAGAGTTTGGGATCTGAGGTCAGAAACACCTGAGTTCAAATTCTCACTCATACAGCCTTAGTGGCTGTGTGACCTTGGACAAGTCAATTAACCTGTCTAAGCCTCAGTTTTCTCATCTGTAAAACAAAGCAAATAATAGCACTTACTTCCCAGGATTATTGTGAGGATAAAATGAGATAACAATGGTCAAGTGCTGTATAAACCTTAAGCATATGCTAGCCATCATCATCACATCATCACCGCCACCCCATCATCATGATCATTATCAAAAAGTCTACGTTTACGTAACTACAACAGACATCTAAATTTTTGTGAAGGCTTCATATTTGATATTCAGCAAAGCTTTTGACCAAGTCTTGCATACCGTTCTTTTGAACAGACAAAAAAAAAATGTGGCCTGGGTGGATTCAGAGCTGGTTGAATAACCACACCCACAATCTGGCCTCACACACGTAACACTTCCTAGCTGTGTGACCCTGTGCAAGTTGCTTAATCCCAATCACTTCACCAAAAAAAAAAAAAAAGGAATAACCAGATCCAGAGAGTTAATGTGAATTTCAAAGGAGGTCTTGTGGAGGAGTGCCCCAGGGATCTGTCCTTGGTCCTGTGCTGTTGATCATTTTTAGCAATGACTTAGCTAAAGTTATAGAAGAGATTCTCATGAAATTTCAGATGATATGAAGCTGAGATGGAGAACTCGTATCTTAGATGCTGAAGTCAGGCTCCACAATCAAGTTGGCAGGCTTGAATGATAGGTTAAATCTAACACGATGACATTTAGCATGGACTGATATGGACATTTTCCCTTGGGTTAAAAAAAATTAGTCTCCTAACTACATGGTAGTGGGGTGGTTATACAGAAATTAATTGAGATAAATACCTTGGGGGGTTGTTCGGTGGACTCTAAACTCAATTAGAAGGACGAATGAAGTATTTATGAAATGCTTATCCTGTGGAAAGCACTGGAAATACAAATGTAAAAGTGATTCAGTCCCTTTTTCCAAGGTGTTCAGATTCTAATGAGAATGAGAGCATACATGAAAGGTTTCATCTGGGTGTCAGTTGGAAACGTTCCATGGTTCTCAGGATACAATGGCAAAGCAAATGGTAATGCCTCTTTTGTTTATGATTTATTTATTTTGTTATAGTCTGAGTGATGTACTGTCTCTCTCATTCCCTCCCATCCCCACATTAGAGAAGGCCAACATTTTATATATATGTACATATACACACACACACACACACACACACACACACACGCACACTCACAGACATATAGATGTGTATGTATATATGCATATATGTACATATGTCTGTTTATATATTTGTGCGCGCATACACACACACACATATACATATGTATGTATGTATGTATATGTAAAACCATACAATGCATCCATCCATATATCACAGTTCTTTCTCTGGAACTGGATAGCATTTTCCTTCGCAGGTTCTTTGTAGTTGATTCAAATCATCATCTTATTCAAAACAGCTTAGTCATTCATAGTTATTCTATAAACAATATTGTGTTACTGTGTACAACATTCTCTTGGTTCTGCTCTTTTTGCTATGCATTAGTTCAAGTAAGTCTTTCCATGCTTTTCAAAACCAACCCTCCTTGTCATTTCTTGTAGCACAGTAGTATTCCATCACAATCATATACCACAACTTGTTTAGCTGTTCCCCATTTGATGGGCATGTACTCCAGTGCCAACTGTTTGCAAAACAAAGAGACCTGTTATCTATATCTTAGAACATATAAGTTCTTTTCCTTTTTTTATTGATTGCCTTGGGAAACAGACCTAACAGTGGGATTTCTGGGCCAAACAGTGTACTCAATTTTATAACACTTTGTGAATAACTTCAGATTGCTCTCCAGAATGGTTGAATGAGTTCACAATTATGCCAAAAGTGTATTAGTGTTCCAATTTTTCCATATTCTCTCCAACATTTGTCATTTCCCCCTATCACTTTAGCCAATCTGATTGGTGGGAGATGGTATCTCATCATTGTTTTAATTTGCATTTCTTTAATCAATAGTGACTTAGAGCCTTTTCCCACTTTCCCCAATCTATGTGATTATATATGACTTTGATTTATTCTCCCCAAAACTGCCTGTTCATATCCTTCGACTGCTTATCAATTGTGGAATGACTCATTCTTATAAATTTGGCTCTTTTTTATATATTTGAGATATGAAGCCTTAATCTGAGAAACTGGTTATCAAAAAATTTCCCTAATATTCTGATTTCCTTTAAATCTCTGCTATATTGGTTTTATTTGGACAAAACCTTTTTAGTTTCATATAATCAAAATTATCCATTTTACATCCCACAATGCTCTCTCTTTCTTGGTTAGTCATAAATTGTTTCCCTATCCATTTGTCTGATAGGCAGTATGTTCCATACTCCTCTGATTTACTTACTATATTTCCCTTTAGAGCTAGGTCATGTATCTATTTTGACCTTTTCTTGGTAAATGGCACAAGATATTGGTCTATAGTTAGTTTTGGTCATACTGCTTTCCAGTTTTCCAAGCAATTTTTTCTTACCAAATAGTGAATTCTTATCCCCAAAGCTTAGATCTTTGTGTTTATCAAACATGAACTTACCACAATCATTTACCGTTGTGTGTTGTATACCTACTCAATTCCTCTAAGCCATCCATCCATTTCTTAGCCAGTACCAAATAGTTTTAACAATTACCTCTTTATTATACAGTTTAAGATCTGGTACTGCTAGACCCCCTTCCTTTACTCTCTCCCTCCAATAGTTCCTTTGATATCTTGACTTTTTGCTCTTCCCAATGAATTTTTATTGTTTTCTAGCTGAATAGAATAATTTTTTGGTAGTTTAATTGAGATGACAGTGAATAAACAGATTCATTTGGGTATAATTGTCAATTTGATTATATTGACTTGGCCTACCCATGAACAATTAAAGCTTCTTCAATCATTTAAATCTGACTTTATTTGTATAAATAATGTTTTACAATTATGTTCATATAGTTTTTGGTTTTGTCTTTGCAGATGTACTCCCAGTTATTTTATATCGCCTAGGGTTATTTTTTAGGCAATTGGGGTTAAGTGACTTGCCCAGGGTCACACAGCTAGTAAGTGTCAAGTGTTTGGTCTGAGGCCAGATTTGAACTCAGGTTCTCCTGATTTCAGGGCTGGTGCCCTACCCACTGCACCACCTAGCTGCCCCCACCTATTGTTATTTTAAATCAAATATTTCTTACTATCTCTTCTTGCAGGGTTTTGTTGGCAATATATGGAAATACATATAGCAAATATGTAGAATATATAGATAGAATAGAAATATGGGATGTGGAAGATTTCAGAATATATAGGATATAGAAATTTATGTGGGTTTATTTGATATCCTGCTATTTTGGTATAATTATTTTCTAACTAATTTTTTTTACTTCAATCTCTAGGACTTTCCAAGTATACTATCCTATCATCTGCATAGTTTTATTTCTTCCTTGCACCTTCTTATTCCTCCAGTATCTTTTCTCTTTCTTATTGCTATTGCTAGCATTTCTACTACAATATGGAATCCCAGTGGTGATAATGGACATTCTTGTTTCACTCCCAATCTTTCTGAGAAAGCTTCTAGCTTATTCCTAATACAGATGTTTGCTGGTGGCATTAGGTAGATGTTTCTTACCATGTTAAAGAAAAACTCGTTTCTACAGATCCTTTCAAGTGTTTTTTTTCTAATAATTGTTTTGTCAAAGCCTTTTTGCATCTTTTAATTTAATCATGATTTTTATTGATTTTGTTATTAATATAATCAATCACGCTGATAGTTACCCTCATATTGAAGCAGCCTTGTGTTTCTTGTATAAATCTCATTTGGTCACACTGTACAATATTTGTGATATATTGCAGTAGTTAACTAGCTAGTAGGAGATAGGTTTTTTTTTTTTTTGCATTGGTATTCATGAGTGAAATTGAGCTATAATTTTCTTTCTATTTTTCCTCTTCCTGGTTTAGGCATCAGCACCGCACCATATTTGTTCCATAAGAGGAGTTTGGTAGGACTGTAATAATAGTAATAGGCAAAATAAGTGACATTTATGTGACACTTCAACATTTGCAAAGTACTATGCCTAAATCATGTCATTTGGTATAATAGTCACTTGAGAAAAGTGCTATAGGTCTTGTTATTCACGTTTTACAGAAAAGGAAACTGAGTCTCAGAGAAGTTAAATGCCTGGCCCATAGAGCAGACAGCCAACATGTGGTGTAGGTGACATTCAAACCCAGAACTTCCTGATTACAAGTTCCTCTGCTCTTTTCATTACAAGAGGAATGGGAGAACCCTTCCAAAAGTGGGCAATAATGAGGGTATTGAGTGAGGGAATTGACTGAAGAAACTGGAGAAGAGACTTATGAGGGTAGTGATAGCAACTACGAGTCTTTGAAGGGTTTTCACGTTAATGTAGGATTCATCTCATTATGTTGGGAGTCAATGGTCTGAAATAGAAAGAATGGATGATAATTCAAAATGGTAGGTTTAGGCTCAAGGAAAGGACAAACTTCTTCACAATTGGAGCTGACTGGAAATGGAATGGATTGACTTGGAAGATGGTGGTTCCCCTCTCATCAGAGGTCTTTAAACCGGGGCTAGATGGCCGCTTGTCTGTGATGTCATAGATGATATTCTTAATGAGATACAAATTAGACCAGCTAGCCTCTGGACTCAGATTCTGGGACTCTGTGATTAGGTCACTCAGAGTGAATTTAGACTCCTTGTGGAGTGAGAGTGTGCTAGAGTTAGCAATTGGCTTAACAATGAAAGGTGTTTTCCTTCAGGGTGCAAGAGAATATAGGGAAAGGATCCCTTTTTTCTTTTTGAGAGTGAGAAGTTCATCAGAAACACGTATTTGTTTAGAATAATTTGGTTGATGATGCTTAAAGTGGCCACTCAAGTGGATTTCACATTGTTCCTTCTCATCTGTCTCCCTCTCATCCTTCCTTCGATTTCCCTACTGTCTTTTCTTCTCTCCTTCTTCGATGGCCTGTACATACCCACAATTCCCTGAGAATGTGTGCTTAGTGTCTGTCTCTACGTTTGTTGCTCTGCCTCCCGTGAATACCCAGCTTCCTTCAGTCTCCTGAGGGGAATCTCAGCATTTGCAAGGTCACCTAAGGTGCCACCTGATCAGGGAGCTTCAACCTTTGATTTGTATCTCAATATTTCCCAGAGCATTATTACTATCAATCATTTCAATTATTTTCTACTATCATTTCTAAGAAACACAAATGAAGCCAAATAAAAGAATTAAAGTGAACTTCAGAAAGGGCAATTGCTTTTGAGGGTCTGGCCTGAGACTGATAATGCAAACTTCTTGGACATCTAGCTGTATTCTAGATGCTCTAGATACTGCTCTCTCCATCTGTTGCATTCTGGGCCATATGGGGACTTCAACTCTTCCTGAGTAGAGGTAGGAATGAATGACGTGGAAGAATTCTAATCCTTTTATTTCAGTAACTTTCCCCCCTCCTCAGATTTTCGTTGCCATTAGGTAAGTTCAGCAGGGCAAATGGGTTTCCAAGGCTCATTTCTGAACTTAGGTCTGCAGTTCATTCAACTCTCCAAACCTGGCTTCCAGGTTGGTTAAAATTTTACTACTGCCACAAGCTAAAATGTTCAAATGGGAATCTAGGATAAAGGACATGGTACTGGATAAAAAGTGCAAATAGTTTGAATCCTTGTTTAGAACTTGATAAGGTATTTTACATAAGTTTAATGAATTTACAAGGTCTTTTTGAGAAGGCAGTTCCAGATGGCAAACATGTGCAAGGCATTGGGCAAACACAGTTTTAGCAAGAATAGTCTGAATTTTGAAATCAGTGGGAGGAAATGAAATGCAAAGTTAATAATCTACAATTATTGGTTAAAAAAAGTATATTAATCCATTTTCCTCTCAACATCCTACCTTCTTTCCTCCACCGATTTCCATAAAGTATTGACAAGATGAAGTGGGTCACCTTCATTTCCCTTATTTTCCTCATCAGCTCTGTTCATTCCAGGGAAATCGTCCGTCGAGATGCACGTAAGAATCTTTCTATTCATGTTCTCTTTTGATGGAGAAATCAAGGCTAAAGATTGAATCTTTGGGGATTTGTGGTCCCATCATGTGTATTTTCCTTCAGCAGTGAAAAATATTCATGAAGATGATTGTATCTATATAGTGTCAAAGAAGTCATTAGTCTGTCTAATATTGTCAATGACCTAGACAGGATAGTTTCTGTAACCTTTTTCAGATGGAGAAAATGTAGCCACCATGACTTCTTAAAGTTGTACAATCCCAAAGAAAGAAAGGAACGTATTCCTCCCACCTCCTCAGCTATGACATCATCAGCTCTGCCTCAGCATACAGAAATCTAGAACCATTAGATAAATTGTATAATTAGAGTTTGGGTTTAATGCACTTGCATTTCAGAGAGACCTCTCATCACTCCTCTGAAGGAGGTATAGAAGAAGTAACCCTAGTTTGGCAGCTAGGTGAATAGAGTGCTGGGCCTGGAGTCAGGAAGACCTGAGTTCAAGTCTGGCTTCAGCCACTTCTTATTTTCTATGACCTTGGGCAAGTCATTTAATCCTATTTGCCTCATTTGCAAAATCAGCTGGAGAAAGAAATGGAAATCTGCTTCAATATCTTTGCCAACCCACCCCCCCAAAATAAAGCAAAACCCATGAAGGGTCATGAAGAGTTGGACATGACTGAAAATGACTAAATAAACAACAAAAATTCTCCCTTAGATTTGAAGAGAAAATAAAGAAACTGCAAAGTTCAACTGGTGGTTCAAGACGTATCTGTGCCAATCAACAATTCTCCAGGTGTTATACTGACCTGAGGTTGACTAATCTGCAGAGATTTGTCTGTGCTGGCAGAGGCATCATCTTTTGAGTCAAATGAATACATAAACCATGCCTAGGTGGAGGAGTGGTTCTCCACCTGGTGGTTTAAATATCTATCTCTATCTCTATCTCTATCTCTATTTCTATCTCTATCTATCTCTATCTCTATCTCTATCTCTATCTCTATCTCTATCTCTATCTCTATCTCTATCTCTATCCCTATCTATCTCTATCTCTATCTCTACTCACACACACATACGCATATATACATATATATGTATATATGTATGTATCTAGCATGTAAATATGTATATATGTATATATGTATACATATAAATACATGTTTAAATATATGTATATGAGATGTATATCTCAATGTTGTATATTTTACTTCTAGATAAGAGTGAGATTGCCAAACGATATAGAGACTTGGGTGAAGTGAATGTGAAAGGCCTGTAAGTATAATTATTGAAAATTTAAATTCATGTTTTCCATGAATATTGATGTGACATTATCCCTTTGTACTTTACGTAGTGATTCCCTTTCTCCTCTTTCTGCCACTTCCCCTGTGGAACACGTTCAGTGGTCATTGGGTTCTGGCTCAGTAGCTAATTAAAGAGCTTTCCAACATCTCCCCTAAGAAGCCCTGCTGTCACTTATGGCTGGAAGTAGGCACCTCTTAAACTTTGTTTTTTAGGCAATTGGGGTTAAGTGACTTGCCCAGGGTCACACAGCTAGTAAGGGCCAAGAGTTTTGTCCGAGGCTGGATTTGAACTCAGGTACTCTTGACTTCAGAGCCAGTACTCTATCGACAGGCACCTCTTATTTTCACATGGTTACCAGGGATGGCAACTGAGCATGCTATTGTTATCCCTATTTTTATGGACAAGAACATTGAGGCAGATCATCCTCTGGGTCACAGTCTAATAATTGGTGATGTAATCAGTGTCAGAGGCAGACTTTGTGCTCAAGTCTTCTAGACTGAAGGTTCTAGATGTCTAATTGAATTGACTTCAGTTACTCAATGATCCTCTTACATGTACTTGGCTACTTTCTACATAGAATGATTTTTGGGGGTTAGGAAAATCCTCTTCTCCCTCCACAAAATACTCATGCACTGGCTAATGCTTGGAGTTCTACCTTAAGATGTGATCTTATTTGTTTAACTGTTAAAATACAAGTGTGTTTGGGCTAAACACCACTTTGAATATATCAGTCACTTAGCAAGTAATGTGACTAGAGCTTCTGAGAGCAAAGTTTGTATGCGATTGTGAGGATCAAATGAGATAAAATCAGTAAAGTGCCAAGCACAGTGCCTGGAACATAGTAGGTGCTATCTAAATGCATGTTCTCTTCCTCCACCTTTGGTTAGAGCAGTGAGGAAGACATAGTATACATTGATCCTTATAGAATGAATGACTGAAAAAGCATGCATTAACCACTGTGCTAAGAGCTGGAGGTATACACAAGTAGAAAAGCAAAGAAGTCCTTGTCCTCAAGGAGAACCCATCCAGGAGAATGCAGCTACAAGGCAGATGGAAAAAAATCCCATGATCCTTAGGGTAAAATAGCAAAGTACATGGTAAAACTGCTCTTTTAATGACATTTCCACTGCTAAGACCATTTTCTGTTTCTGGTCTTGAGCCATTTGACTTTGGCAAGGACTTTGGTGATGAGAATTTTCCTTTCCGAGTCTTCAGTAGCTGTGGCTGCTGAAGAGGTGGGGGCTGCAAGCAGCCTCAGAGACAGCTGTCATAGTTCATCTCTGCAAGAGTCAATCCCCTTGATAATGGCTATGGGGACGTCAGAGTAGAAGCAAGACATGTCTTTAGAAGGGTGCTGGGCTGTCTCCACCTGGGTGTGAGTGGAGGTGGTGGTGGTGGTGGTGGGTCATCCGTGAGGCACATGCCACCCCCGTCTTTCTCTCAGGATGCCTTGGTACTCTAGTCAAGTTGGCATGGTGTGGATGGTCCTCTAGCCAAGCTGGAAATGGTGTGGATGCAATTGGATCTTCAGTATGGCAAACACTTTATGAGGGGGTTTTAATGTTTAATTTCACCTTTTCTTTCAGTAACCATAAGAACTCTTTGTTTCAGAGTGTTGATCACATTTGCTCAGTTCCTCCAGAAATGTCCATATGAAGATCATATAAAATTAGTGAATGAAGTCGTGGAATTTGCAAAAGGCTGTGCTGCTGATGAGACAGCAGAAAATTGTGACAAATCCCTTGTGAGTAGAGACTCTGTGGTTGAGTTTGACCTTCTCTCTTCATTTCATTTTAGATAGGAGATCAGAGTCAACAATAATGTGTCCCACCACTTCTCTCTTTGTTCTTGGACTTCTCACCAGTCCAGAACTGCTCCCTCTTGTTAAAAAATGTAAGGAATTGTTCTGAACTAAGAGGAAGTCAAATGATTTGAGGGGAGCAGAAGACTGTCAAGGCAGCTGCCTCTCCTAACTCCTTGTCTCATGAGTCTTGCCCCAGTCAAATAAGGAAGTCCAGTATTTCCAGAGCTTTAAATGGGTCCATGACTAACCACGTATTTTTTTTCCCTCCTAGCACCAACTATTTGGCGATAAGTTATGTAGTCTGCCAAATTTTCGGGAGAGGTACGGCGAAATGGCAGAGTGCTGCACTAAAGAAGAACCTGAGAGAAATCAATGTTTCCTGAGCCACAAAGATGACCACCCAGACCTCCCTAAAATCGAAGCCGCTAATGCTGACACTCTTTGCCACAACTTCCAAGAGAATGCAGACAGAGTTCTGGGAAAGTAAGTGAGATCAGAAAGTGAGTGTAGGGGCTGGTGGGTCAGCATAGGAGCCAAACAACCCTGGCACAGGTCATAGTACTAACTGTATGGGACTGAGGGAGAAGGGGAATAAGCATTCATGAAGTACCTAGTATGTGCCGGGCCATGGGCTAAGGGGTTTACAAATATTCTTTTATTTGATTCCCATAACAAATTATTTAGATGTTGGTATGATTCCCATTTTATGGATGAAACAACTGAGGCAGATAGAGATTATGTGACATGCCCAGTGCCACACAGCTACTAAGTTCTCAGGTTTTCCTGCATCCAGACCCCATGCTTTATCCACTGTGCCATCTAGTTGGAAAGGGCAAGTCATTTAAGCTCCTTGGGCCTCAGTTTCCTCATCTATGAAATGAGGGAGTAGGATCCGATGATCTTTGTGCCCCTCTGTAGCTCTAGAATCCTGTGGTCTGAGTGCCCCAGCAGCCTGGCAAAGACTACTGTTATTGAAAAGTGGCCAGTCTGCAGAGATAGATTGAGTTTGCCTGCTTAGCATTTCCTATGCTCAGAGCAAGATTTACATTTGGGGTCCTACGGGTGGTAGACTCAGAGAAAACTGAACATATTTGTAGCACTTTGATCAGTGTGGAAACAACAGCATTCAGCCTTGAGTTAGCAGGAATACCTTACTTCAATAAGAAGATGCTGGGTCTTGGTGAATGACTCCCTATGCATGGTCTTCCCTGAGACTTCTGCTGCCTCTCAGGGGGACTGTGTCTTCACTTGTGAAGCAAAGTGGCTTTTACATCATTTGCCCTCGGCCTTGGTGGTGGGGTTTGCCACCTCCTCCCCTACGAAAACATACCCCTCCTCTTCCCCATCTCTTTCACATCATACCCTCATCGTGTCCTCTTTGAAAAATAATCGTGTAAACTAATTCACATTCAATTCTTTTTTTCCACATTCAACTCTTAATAATTGAATTCTGTTACCCTAAAGGTGTTTTCTTTAGAAAGAGGATTCTAAGAGATACAATTCCTTAACCTCAAGGAGTGAATTTGTAGTGAATAGTGAAATATTCTGTGTACAGCAGGCCAGTGAAAGAGATGTTTTGAACGTGAACTTCTTTTGAGTCTCCTCCAATCCCATATATTTTCACTGTATTTCCAAGCCTAATGCTGGTTAGTACATAAGCAATTTAACTGTGATACTTATGGAAAACAATGTCTGTCTGAAATACTTTTGAGTCTCTCAGTGAGAATAGTATATGCTGTGTAATTTTTCAAATGTAGAAAGTATATTCTCCTTAGAAAAGACATACAGCTTGTTTTATGAGGATAGAGAATATTAACGATGTAATATTGCATAACATAACACACCAATTCCTAGATAGAACTGAAAGAATGCCAATGAAGTCACAGCTCCAAATTAGAGGGGGCAGCAGACGTCAAATTTAGTTAGGTTCAGCTGAGAGAGTAAACTTATCAATTGATGTGGGTACACAACTGAAGACATTTATTAGTGATAGCTATTCAAAAGTGACCATTTGGTTCTCTTTGCCAATTTCAGGTACCTGTATGAAGTTGCCAGAAGACACCCGTACTTCTATGCCCCTGCACTCCTTGCCTACACTTTTCAGTACAAGGATGCAGTGGGAGAATGTTGCCAGTCTGCTGACAAAGCTACGTGCCTCCAAGAAAAGGTATTTGAGAGGCAGAAGGGGCGGGGGGAGAGAGACACACACATACACACACACACACACACACACACACACACACACACACAGAGAGAGAGAGAGAGAGAGAGAGAGAGAGAGAGAGAGAGAGAGAGAGAGAGAGAGAGAGAGAGAGAAAATCAGTGTGGGACCTGTCACCTGGACCCAAGAAGTCCCATCTTCCTTACCATGATCGTCTATCAGCACCTTCTTGAGTCCTGGCCCTTGGCTTGAGAGGCAGTGTGGTACAGTAGAGAAGGCTCTTGGGGTGGGTGGGGTGAAGTGAGGAGCGTTTGGGTTGAAGTCCATCTCAGATGCTCACTAGCTGTGTGACCCTCTGCAGGTCACGTCCTTTCTCCCAGCCTCAGTTTTCTAATCTGTAATCTGAGGGGGTGGTACTTGGTGCTCTTTCCCGCTCTAAGTATATGACCCTTCCGTTATTCCTCTTCAGTACTGTCCTCACTTCTGTGAAGGGGAGGGTGATAGAGTCTGCCTCTGTGTTGCTTAAACTTTCCAATCCCCTGACTCATTTCACTAGTTTGATGATGCAATTGAGAACTTCCTGCATCCTGGTGTCAGCCTTGTGTGTGTGTGTGTGTGTGTGTGTGTGTGTGTGTGTGTGTGTGTGTGTGTGTGTGTGTGTGTGTGTGCATGTGTGTGCGTGTGCAGGCATGTGAATTTATATTTGTGGAATAATTTGGAGTGGGCAGAGTCTACTGTAGGCAGAAGAGTGAATTGTGCTGCAGGTGAGATTGGGAACATTAGGTAGGGCTAAAGATGGAGCTGCTGACATAATTTTTTGTTGACTAGTCTTTTTCAGTCATGCCTGACTCTTTGTTGCTCCATTTGGTGTTTTCTTGGCAAAGGTACTTGCCAAGGTAAATGCCAAAGGTTTGCCATTTCCTTTTCCAGCTTATTTTGTAGATGAGGAAACTGAGGCAAACGGGGATAAGTGTCTTGCCTAGGTTCACACAGAGTGTAAGTGTCAGAGTTGAACTCATGAACATGAGTTCAATATATTATATATATTTACTTATATATATTTATTTATATACAGTATTTATATACTGATTCTTCATTGTGCAAAGTATCCCACTGCAGTAACATTTCCAAGTAAGCTCTCCCCCAAAAGTTCCTCCCCTCTCAAAATATACCCTTTGGCATTTTTTTTTAACTTTTAGGCAATTGGAGTTAACTGACTTGCCCAGGGTCACACAGCTAGTAAGTGTCAAGTGTTTGGTCTGAGGCCTGATCTGAACTCAGGTCCTCCTGACTTCAGGGCTGGTGCTTTATCCACTGCACCACCTAGCTGCCCCTTCCTTACCTCTTTGTCACCATACTCTCAGCCAGGTATCTTCTCAAATAATCTTCTAAATTAATTCACCTTCAATTCTGAATTATTGAATTTTCTTATCCTAATAGTGTTGTCCTTCCGAAAGAGGATTCTAAGAGTGACTTTGTAGTCAGTACTGAAATTTTAGGTGCACAGTAATCCAGTGAAGGAGATGTTTTGAATGTGAACTCGTTTTAGCTTCCACACAAATCCTATGCATTTTTACTTTATTCCCAAGTCTAATGAGAGTTAGTAAATAAGGAATTTAACTTTGATAGGTATTGAAAAAAATTTCTTAAATACCTGTGAAACTGTCTTTGAGAACAACATATACTATATAATTTTCCAAACGTGGAGAGTATATCCTACTTAGCAAAGATATATAGCTTGTTCTTTCAGGATAGAGAATGTTAAAGGTGTTACACTGCATAGAAGAGCACAGATGGAGAGGTGGGAGGGACCTTGGAGATCCTTATGTTTACTAATTTCATGACAGGGGAGGAAACTGAGGCCCAGAGAGATTCAACATTCAATTAATTGATGACTGTGCTTGTGGCTGATTGACTTGATGATTCACACATCATGTTAATGGAAATGAAGGTCCTAGCTTCAATTCCAATCCACCAAGCAATTATCAATCCCCTATTAGCTCCCATTAAGTTCCTACCAACACCAAGAGAAAACTCAAAGTATCCTCTGTCCTCTTGGATCTTATAACGTATTACATACTGGTGAGATTATCACTGACCATTCCTAAATCTGAACAACTCCCTTTAATTGTGTCACCATGGTCATAAGAAGTGCCAGGAAAGGGGCCATTAAGGGCTTAGCTGAAAAATCTATCACCACTACCGAGAAAAGGAGCCCAAGTGCAGTATCGACTATTGGTGTGTGCGCAAAGCTATCTTCATATAATGGAGGATCTTTTAACCTTTTTTTGTGTCATGGGCTGTCTAGTGAAGTTTATGGGCCTTTCTCAGATTCACGTCTTTCAGTGCATAAAAGGAAATATGTAGGATTAGAAAGGAAACTAATAATATTGAAATACACCTATCAAAAAATCTCTGTCTCTATTTCTCTCTCTCATTCATGGAAGTAATTCAGGTTAAACTCCTTAAATTTTGAAGAAAATGTTGAAGTAATTTGTGAGGACTTTGTGGGGAATTTATTTTTCATATTAATGAAAATACGGAAATTATTTTTGAAAAAAGTGATTTATTTTTTGTACAGCTTCCTGCTTTGAGAGAAAAAGTATTATCTGCAGGTGCAAGACAGAGATATCGATGCTCCAGTTTAGACAAGTTTGGAGAGAGAGCTGTCAAGGCTGGGTAAGTCTCTAAGTTTCAATTGCCTAAAAGACATTGTATTTGCTGTAGAATCAAAGATGGGAAAAGGCCTAAGATTCCAATATCTCTAGCTCCCACGAATTTCTGTTGTTAATTTCATGATTTGTAAAAAAGTAAAAAAATTGTTACAAGTGAAATTCAACAAAAAGGTAAACCAAGGCACTTGCTCCAGCTAGACAACAATTTATTATCAGGGCATTAGCTATTAGTAGAATGGGTCTAATGACAGCCTCAATTAGCCAAAAGATGAAGAATTGAAGATGCAAGTCTTTTATAAGCAGAGAACAAAGTAGAGAACAGAGTAGGTGACATCATGGGGTTGAAGACAACGTGATTGGTTACATAGCTGAAGCACAGGCACAATATCACCGATTGGACGTTGGAAATGAGGGCAAGCAATAGCTCCTTTCTTCCTTCCTGAGACTGAGAAAATTTCATGGTCGAGCCCACTTTCAATGTTAAAAACTAGTGGTCCAGACTTCTTTGTATAGTAAACCAGACATGATTGAAGGAAAGCCTGCCTTGTGTGCATGGTCATCCCCCAAGGGCAGCAGAAACCCTTGAGGCCATAATAGAACAGTGACTAGCAGCAGAACTGTATTTCTAAACTGAAGTCATTCATGTTAGTGTATTTCTGCACTAAATTCAGAGACAGAGAACCACAGTTTAGTCAGTTACAGGACAAAATCAATAGTCTGGCAAAT